TAATAATAATAATAATAATAATAATAATAATAATAAGACAATTTATTTAAAAATATCTATTTGTAAAATCGATTGAAATGACCAAATTCATTTTATGAATTTACAATTTTATTACATTATATTTAGTATCTAATAATATTAGTACAGGAGATTCTTCTATCACCATCTGTGTGCCTGTTTTTAGTTGCAATTCCATAAGTAAATTATAGTATTTTATTATAGTTACTTTTCACATACTTCACATATTACGATTTGGTAATTATTTTAGCACATTGTCATAATCTTGGATTCGTAAGAAGTCTATCATGTATTGTTTGATCACTGAGAACCTAATGAATTTTATATGCTCAAAAATCAATTAATGGTAAATTAATAGAAATAAAAATATATTTATCAACTAATTAATATATTTATCATATTGTAAACATAAATATTCTTTGTACAATCAAACGAAACTGAATAGATATTTTTCTTTAGTAAGTATTTAATTAGATTTAATGTATTTAATTATTCATTTAATCTTAAGATTATCAAAAGTGTACTTAAAACATAATAATGTATCAGAGTTATTTTTATTAGTATTTTGTATTTTCAAAGTTAAGAGTAAAACTCGTATTTTCCAATGATTGATTTAAAGTGCAATATTTGCTCATCCTCCTTCGTTAGTTGAAAGGAGCTATCTGGAAATTCATCGACCTACACAAGTGATGAAGCGATTACAAAAAATGGTTCAAGAAATCCATGTTTTATTTAGAACAATATTTTACGGAAAAATAATATAATAAAAAATAATTACAAAGACGTTTAATAAATAATTACTTACTGGAAAAGCTCAATTATTAAAAAAAAAAATTAATTAATATTATTTAGTGGAAGATAGTTATTAGATATTTTACCAATAAATAATATCTAATATTCGAATGTTTGTTCTAAACTTATCCTTTGCAAAATTTTACATGGATAGAAAATGATGAAAGGATATACTATTAAACAAACTTGAAGAGGAATTACATATAGCAACATTTACACTTAGTTTTACCTCTATTAAAGTTTTATTATCTTTCATATTCCTTTAATGAACCATTAACAAATTTGCTATTTTATATACTTGATACATATTATTTCATAATTGCCAACTCGTCATCTGATATTTCAATAGATGTTTGATGTTGAATTTAAAATTTTTTAAAATATTTATTCGAATGAATCTAAATCTATGAGTAATAAAGAATTATTTTTGGAAGAGTTTATTGATAGTCATCCTAAACTCATACTATAAGTACATTTTTCTCTCTACAAATGAATTAATACGAAACAGTGTATATATTTACTACAGACACACCTATTATATGTTTTAGTTTCGTGAACCATTCAATTGTACGCACGTGCACTATACTGTTGCTAAGCAACAGCGTCATGTTTATTAGTTAATGTGTACACGCGGTTGTACAAAAATTACTTCTCTTGATTCGACAAAGCATGCGGTTCACTTCCAAACTTTATCATCTACAAATGCATTTTTTATTTTAGAAAATTTCTGATCCTAATATTAAAAAATTTTATAAGTTGCTTAATTTAAAAATTGAGAATCCTTTAACTTGCTGTTGGTAAAGATATATTTCACTACACAATCATATTATTCTCAAAGTCATTATCTGTAATATTAATTATTTGAAATAATTATCTTATGCATTCTATGTGTGTCCTCTTAATGCAATTATCTATTTTATTTCTTCAAGTAAAGTTAAACCTTGTCACCAATTTATTGTTGTTATTGAGTCAATAATGTTTTCATTGAAATGATATTTACATGACACATTATATCCCTACTCCGTATATGACAATAATAAAATCTAAGCCTAGTATGGCACGCGTTTTGTTGGATTAATTCTTACTAATATAATGATTCGTTGAAGCATGAAGATTCAGTGTGAAAGGTCATAGCTATCATACGGAAAATTACTCGTTGATAAACGGTGAGAATAGCGTGTCAGAAAGAGAAAGATTTTCAGTAATTCTGATGACTTACAATCAGAAAAAATCCATAAACACTGAATCGTATGAAAATATCGATTTTTCAAATAAAATCAGTTTTAAATTGAATTATTTGCAACATAAATTTTCTTTTTTCCCCCAAAAAAATTTATCACGTTAATAAATAAAAAATGGAAAAAATATATTTTAAAAAAAATCTAATTACAATTAGGAATTAAATTGCAATAAAGAGTTTGATGGTATCTATAAATTTATAAAAAACTATTGAGTAGATAAATAAATAATAATAAAAAAAAAACAACTGTAACATTTCACAATAAATGAATTTCTTCTCATATGATTACATTAATCCCCATTTATATTTCACTTCATACGTGCTTTGTTTTATTAATGGGATAACTGAAAATTTATCGGATTGAATGGTATTTTTTCTCACAAATAGTGAGAGTAAAACATAAAATCTGAATGAAATTACTAACAAGCAGATACGCAAATGACAGATGATTAATTGTTTCTATCCGGAGTAATATCATCAATTGATTAGAGAGGTCGAAGTTTTTTGATTATCATGTAAATTACGATTATTACTACTTGAAATTTCATAATTATCACATTTTAATTTGAACTTTAATTATTTTCATAATAACTTGATATCAAATTTTAGGTAGAAGATTAAAATCCAAGAAAACAAAAAAACTACACTTTTTTAACTACAAGTATAGATTAATGTTGCTGTGTCAATTCCGAAATAATGTAAAAAACTAAAATAAATATTTTAAAAGCATAAAATTCTCGTTATATGATTATTATAATTGCCTACATAGTCTTGGTCTTTTATTTCATCTTTATACGCTTCGATTGTTTAAAATAAAATATTTGAATGTTCTGAACAACATTCAAAGTAATTGGTAATACTCCATAAATATCTCTTTGCCGTTATACAATAACATAATTAGAATAATTGAGCGTAAATTGCAATATAAAGTAGCTATCCAATAAAATTTACTGTCGACTTACTTCTTTTTATTTATTCATTTTCTGAACGATTGTCTTATTTTTATTTTATAACTGAATTTTTGAGAGAAATACAACAGAGTTGATATCAAATTAAAACCAATACAACTTTTTCGTTGGATTCCTCGTACATGTAATATCTATCTCTTTCTATAATTCTAAGTAATTATCAAAATTAGTTTACAAGAATTTCGGTATCTTTCGAATAATTAAAAATGAACACGACTTTCGGTTAAAAAGAAGAAAAACCATAGCATTTCTATGTATTCTTCTGACGCAATGAAGATGAAATTTTTCATCAAATCTACGTCAATAAATATTGTGTAATATAGTGATAGTCCACTACTGATATCATTAATAATTTGTCCAAATAGATGGTGTGAGTTACGATATTAATGTCATCATTTAACTACTGATATACGTGATATAAGTCATGAAGCGTAAACTATAGGGATTTTACTGTCATGCGAATGAATTAAGATTAACAATAAATAAAATAAAAAAATTTCAAGTATAGAAGCTACTGGTTTTATTTTATTGGTATTATATGATAGATAAGGTGACAGACTGCGTGGCATCACTATATTCATCCTTATCTTTTTTGTATACATCAAACATAAATACTTACTTTGTGATATTGCACTACATTTTGTGTTTTTCATCTGTATACAATTGTAATTATTAATTAAATTTTTTCTTCCATATATCTTAATATTAGTTATTATACCAATAAATGGAGCAATTGTGGTGTTATAAACAAAATTTTGTAATTAAAAATTTGATGACTCAATAATATAATAATTTAGATGATAAAATTCAAATTAGTACTGAACCGAATAAAATCATTATTAATTGGCATGAAATGATAATAAAAAATTTTCTGTAATGTTTATTGTCAAACTAACATTTCTTCGACTAAAATCATATATGCATAGAATTGATGAAAGAGGAAAAGGAAAGGTCGTTAACGAGCAAACGGGCACATTAGTAAACATATTGACGACTATTCTATTGAATTCTAAATTACGATTACGAAATAATCATTCACTTCAACAATCTATTACGCTAACTCATTCAACATATACACAAGTTGTTGATCTGATTAATCGGTACGTTGGTACTTTACCAGCCTTTGTCATGTTTAAAGTACCGTAAAATAAATGAAAACAAAATTCACAGACGATAAGCGAATGATAAAATGTTAGAGTAGCTTTCAATCAGTTATTTAATAATACAAATAAAATGTCAATAATGCCAAGTGAAAAAAAGATAGAAACCAAAAGAGGAGGTGATTTCATTCATTTTACGTTCAAATGTGATGCCCATGAGGTCAAGGTTCTTTATTTCCTCCGTCGCGCGAATTAATGATAAATTATTAAATTCTCAAGGAAAATATACCAGATTTAATAAGCATTATATCAGTGTATTATATCAGTGATTCATTCTAAGAATTATTTTATTCAGTAGAAATTTTTAAAATTTTACTACTACTAAAAATTATAATTCCCATTAAAAATATAACCAACATATCATAATAAAACGCAATAAAATTGATTTATTTAGTGTATATAATGTCGCAATAAAGGAGATAAAAAAATTTGGCTCGTACCCGTACGAGGTTGTATGAATATTATCGAATGTAGTTCTAGACTTTTTTTTTCTAAAATTCATTACGTCATTCTCTTGGAATTAATAAGTATTCAATTATTTTTATTTCTATCTGTCTTTTTTTTATCATTATATCAATGATACTTAATTATTTTGCTTTATTGATATAAATTAACAATATAACATATATCATAATTTTTAAATAATAAAAAATATTTAACAATGTACACTACATACTACGATACAATATTGAAAAGGCATTAACGAGACTATGGTGCCAAGCTGGCTGCTAATATAAAAAGGAGTTTGTCATCATATTCTGTGACAGATAAATTTCTTGTTAAAGTGGGGATGACATGCTTATAAGTAAACGCGATTGACTTTGAGGACCAATACTCGCAAAACATTAAATGCAGTGACCTTACAATTCGATCAAATTAAAAATTTATTATGTTGCAAAATATTTTCTCTACTTTCATCAAATCAAGTTTATTAAATACTGTGTAAATATTTGTGAAATTATTTTCATCAACTAATGATAACTTTATTTGGATTTTCCTATTGTTTTGGAATTTTTCAGTTACGGATATGACTTAGTGGTGTGATTAGTGTTTATACGAAGACAATCAGATACATGTTTTTCAAAAATTATCATCAAAAAGTATAGACATTTTTTCTAATTATAATCCACAAAATTATCATCAAAAGATTTATTTGGTAAATATACTCGTTTTTTATAACAATAATGTCATAGTAAAAATATATTATAATATATCATTACCCTTTAGTAATTTAAATTGAAATGTTTTAAAATGTACTAAAAGTAGTTACCATCACTTTCATTGGTGATATAAAAGTTGATGTGGCTAAAAAAAAATATCTTCATAAATTATTGCAGATCAAGAATCATTATGACTATTTTCAAACTCTTGTAATTGATCAAGAGTAATTTTTTGATTATCATCATCTAATTGATTTCAACCATCAACGTCCTCAGAAGGGTCCTCAATTCTTTTTCGAGTAACTGCTTGTTAAAAAAATATATCAAAAAGACATCAGATATATGATAAAATTTTCCATATTATATACTGGAAATTTTTTTTTTTTTGCTTTCAATAATTATGAAATTTCTATTAAAATTTTTTAATGAAATTTAGCTCATTTTACTTTCACTATTCCTATAATAGAAACCTTTAACTTGGATTTTATTCACTCTCATAAAAATGTAAATATTTACTAACTACTGTGTTATTATTTATAAGCTGAAAAAAATAGAAAAAAAAGGATATTTCACCCTCCTAAGATATTATGTTTTTTCAACGATTTATTTAACAACCCAGTAACACGTGTGAAGTGATTCTAATTTTTTTATACGTAATAATAACTTAGTAAACAATAATACACAAAATGTTTATAAAAAATTTGTATATCTACGTGGTTGACAAATATTAATATCCTTCCTTGGTTATAATTTACGATTAAGCTATTTACAAATTATGGATAATTTATATGCAACATCTCTTTAAGCTTTTTCAATGATAATATTAACACTTTCATACTATTTATTAATGTATTATTTATGATCATTTGTATGACGTAAACTTTTTTAATAATACACGCCTGACTATATCGATATAATACTACTTATTGATTTGATTGTTGGGTAAAAAGTATATGAGATAATTAATAATAAAATTTATGTCACTTTACAATACAATAGTAACGAAAAAATTATAATTAATATTACTTGATGGAAACATACATATATTATTGAATTCAATTATATCCTTCATTGAGAGATTACCGAACAGATGAATTTTTTAAAATTTTTATTACGAATAAAACTTGATGTTTTTGGTGGATAAATTATAGAAAAACAAATAAAGAAAAGTAATTAAATTGTGAAATTGAAAATTCATAGTTCCAATTAAACTTGTTCAATTATCTACTTTATTCACATTGTTATTTGACCTTTAAATTTACTTTTTAATAACAAACGTCTAATAAATAAATGACTTTTAATATTTTTAACTATACGACAATAATCTTATTATTAATACGAAATAATTTCATTAATTCAATATAATATTGAATTAATCAAAAAATATAGATACAAGAAGAATTTAAGATGCATGAAATAATGGAAAAAATCTTATATAAAAAATAAATATTTAATTGAAATGAATAAAGTGATTTCATTTGAGTTCTTTTTGTTTATAAAATAGAAAATTTATTCATCAATTAAATTTAGATATAACCATATTTGTTATAATCTATGATAAAATTTTACAAACGAAAAATAAAATACTTAGTAGTAGATAAAATTTTTTTTAAAAATATACCGTAGAATATTATAATAGATATAACATCAATTTATTTCGTTATTAAATAACTTACTCGGGGAAAAAGTTAAGAAATATAAAAACTTTCGATAACTTTAATAATGAGTCAAACAGAAAGAAAAAAATTAATAATGCTCTAAATGCCAATTCCTTATCACTAATCATTTTAAATAAATAAGTACAAAATATTTATTAACTGATAAAAAATAAATAATAAATTTTTGACATGATTGTCAAGGTATTTTAGTTGAGCTTTCAAATTTCCAAGTAGTACAACTAAAGAATTATTCATCCAAGATTCACCACATTCCAAGAGAAATTTTCAGTGTTCAAGTAGTCCATTCAATACAAAAATGAATGATTAAAAGACTGAAAATGATTAATTGAGATGTAAAGAAAGGAAACTCATTTTTCTTTCATAAGAATTTCAAATTACAAAAAACAAAAAAAAATAGCCGATAGATACACTTAAAAAAAAGAAAACGAATGAATCGATGCGCGTGGGATGATCGGGCATCTTTTCTCTATCCGTATGTGGTCCTACAGGTGGCAAGAGAGGGGTACGAATCTCGGTAGTGGTGGATATCAGAGGTATAATAGAGGGTGTCTCAGCCCTCCACAATTCACTCTTCGAACATTCGTTGACTATTAAAAGAGTTCCCCTAACATTTAAATAACAATTCAATCACTGTGAATTCAATTTAACCCTTCTGAAATACTTATAACTAACGTTTCAAAGAAGTAGTGAAAATAAATTATTCTCAAAGTTAATCGGCAAGTAAAGGATGTTTGATTTTGATTAACCGTTTGAATAATAAGCTTTATAAATTATAAGATATTTATTTATATATCAATAAAATAATTATTTCGTTCGGATATAAAAAATCACATTACAAAAACGAATTCAAAAACTTTGCTATTTCATATTTTTGATAATTTATAGTATCATTTAAATACATGTTCCTTATCATAAATTGACATAAAAATTTGATCAATATTTAATATTTAATAATTACAAATAATTTAAAAAATCCACTTAAAATGTACTCACAAACATATTTGTTTAAATGATTAAAAAATTTGTGAACAAAAATAAATTAACGTTAATAATTGTAAAATATATTAAATGTAGCAATATTTTTATTTAATTACGAAACATAAAAGGTAACATCTTTATTATCGTACGGTGATTAAGATTAAATAAAAAAAAGAAGTAGATAATTGTATGAAAGTTTTTTGGGACTAAAATTTTTCAGTATAAATTATAATAGTGAATTTTCAAGTGATCATGATAAATTATATTTTAAAATGTAAATATTATTTCTATTCTATTGAAGCAACAAGTGGAATATTATTTTCCGTCGGACAAAACATATACTTTATTACCTGATTAACCATTTTTTAAATTAAAAAAAATTGTTGTTTATTATATACGAATTATAATGTGCTTAATTAAAATATTTATTGATAAATTTATCAAATTGATTACAGAATTTTTGATGATCAACGGAAGCATGAAGAAAAAAGTTAATACCCAACATTCGTGTTTATGGTATACGTTCATTTCATTATTTCTCATAACAACGAACAATTTTGTCTTTGCTGATCCGGATCGATTATTAGATCAAGTTTCATCCGAAAGTTTATTTGATGACACCGTTAATTCTGTAAGTATTTTTGCATCACACTTTATTGTTAATATAAAATTTGTAATACATAAAATTTTATAAATTTATTAAAATTGCTTAATATCATTAAATAAGGGTATTTACTTTTTTTTTTACTTGTATGATTAAAAATGTAATGGAAAGTTTTTTTCGCAGTTGCTTCTTCAAAGACTCAAGGAAGTAGCGGAATTAAAACGTGAGATTATTGAAGAAGAACGTGAATTAGTCGCTCAAATGGAGATTCAAGCTATGTTGGAGGCAAAATCACGGAATCACCGGATACCAAGTCATTCAATTCCACCAGAGTTAGGAATTGAAGGACCAGAGATGTTACCAATTCCGAGTGCAATAGTTAATCCCGGACCCACGCATTCAGGAAAACGAACTAGTTCATGTAAGTTTTATTATTTAGAACACATTTAATAATAATAGAAATAATAATAAAATATAAAAAAAAAATACCAGATAGCCAAATTTGAATATGTCGAAAAATAATTATCTATTAAATACAATTGATTATTAAAAATACGAAAAATTATTCAAAACAACAATAAAATGCAGAGTATATGATTGCTAATTATGTCAATTACTTGGTCATATTCACTACACTGTAAATAGATCTCCTAGTAAGTGGTGAAATTTAATTTATTATTTTAAACAATTTCAAATTATTAAATCAGTTAAAAACCGAGCCTGTGTACCATAAATTTTCATTGTTCTAAAGTGTGTTATTTTGACATACAAAAAATGTGTAAATTGGCACACTTTGATTTGAAGTGTAAAACCTCGCCATTTATATAAATAATAATGATAAAAAAAAAATTAATATAAAATGTCTAGGTAGACTATTAATGCATTTACCTTACTTCTAGATCATCTAATTTTCTCAAAGTAAAAATAAAAGCAAATATTGCACAAGTAGTGTAATATCAATGTACATTATTTGCAAATCAACAAAATACGATCTTTTAATTTAACCACTTAACTTATACTGTAAATTGACGACATCACGACGTCACATATGTATAAACCGATCATTTAACTTGTTTATATCGCAAATAAGTATTGAAGATATCTGGAACATTCTCGATAATCGATGTCGTAGTTTATTAAAGATTGGCGCCAACCATATCAATTGTATTTAATGATTGTAATTGTCATCATAATACATTCAACATTAATTTATCGTTTTTCTACATGTGGCATTGTCTATGTTTCAGACATGGCTTTATGCCACTTCAAGATTTGTAATATGGGACGCAAACGGCAATTGTAAACTGACAGATTATCATCTTTTTGTCAACGTGTACATCAATTTGTCAACTTATTCATCGTGTCCAATACCAAAGTCCTCAATTATTTTTGAACCTTCAGAGAAATGTAAATTTGATTTTTTATTATCATTCACTAACCCTGTTTCGATAAATTATGTTCAAAAAAAATTTATATTCCAGTGAAAAATTATTCAAACGACAGAAACGAATTTTTTAATAACATGTTATTAACTATAATCATCTTATGCTTAATATTGTAAAACTTTGTGAATAACATTACGAACTAAGAAGGGTACAAAAGATTTATAAAATTATAACTTTTTAATTGTATACTATGAGGAATAAGAACAAATATACAAATGTTCACAAAGGCAATCATTTAACAAACTAAAAATAAACTGTACGAACGAAAAAATGTACAATTTTTATCCTTCAGAAACTTGAATTATAAAAACATTAACAAAAATGATAGTATGTAATTAAATTGATGTGTAATGGTTTTGTAACCAATAGTGTTGAATGAGTGAGTAGACGAAAGTATGACGAGAATGAAAATACGAAGAAAAAAATTATAAAAAAACCATCTTTGTACCCTTCGAAAAAATAATATTTATATTTTCAATTATTATCAAGATATTATTATTATTATTATTATTAATATTAACGTTATTATTGTGATTTCTTTTATTATTATTATTACATAATTTATTGTTTTACCACTATCGTATTATTATTATTTTTTATTTATGAGAAGAAAAAGAGTCGTATCGTGTGTAATTCAAAAATATTCTGATACGTATCAAAATATACATCTTCTTTGTATTTGTTCATGTAAAAATTTGTACCGTTTACGATTATTGTTAAAAGTATTGAAGTGATATGTATATTTATGCATCTTAAAAAAAAAACTTACTCTTCTATCAAATGTATATTGTACCTGAATATTTTTTTTGTTGCAACAGCAGGCTTATTATTCAAGTCAATGTGTAATATCCATATGAAAATGAATTCCATTGAAGAAACAAAAATAAATGATTGGAAGAACACAATTATTATATTCATTTTCCAAACTTATCAAAGGTTATTATCGTAAATGGATATTATACTATAATAGATATTGAGATTAAATATAAAAAGAACGAATAACGAAAATAATAGTACCAATGATTAATTGCTAATTCTAGCTTGATAGTACTGGCATCTATTTTCATTTTGTAATTGTAAACTACTTGCTATTCGATGGTTTTATTGAATTATCAAAAAAATCTACCTGTATATATGTATATTTGTTTATTTCAAAAGAAGTTTAAATTCACTTTTGCAAAATAACGACTTGGACCAGTGCTTTAAAACGGTCTGATAGATTATAAGAAATCTTTCAAAAAACCTGAATCTCAAGGGGATCAATTTATTCAGAAAAAATTTCAGCGTTGATATTTCAGGAAGTATAAGAGATAAAATATTTTTATCACAATTTCAAGCGTATTCTGAACTTGAGTTAATATCATTTGCTTTTTAAAAATTAATTTTTTTTTCTTTATTTCAAGATCAAGATAATCGTAATTGATAAAAAATACTTGATTATTTATTTTTCATCACATTTATTCTAATCATTCTTGTATGTAACATTTTTTATTATCTTTCTAATTATAACAATTATTTAATGAAGCCGAATTTAGTTAGCTAATTTTTTTAGGTAGCTTTTTTAAATACATCCTGAGCTTGAAACATCATAGATCGGCAACTTTTCTTCAAAAAAAACTTTTTCTGCAGTCGGTAATTGCTCAGAAGATATACACTATTATAGGCATTAATGAAGCCGAGTGTACATACATCTCTATTATCTTTTATCTGTTGTGTCAAAACAATATTTTCTCCCGCTTTATGAATGCGCATGTCAGCGAATGCCGCCATATTGATTTTAACTTTATATATGAAGTTGCAAATCAAAGAATTTTTAAGTAAAATGTTTTTTTTTTTTCTACGAAATAAATTTTTAAAATTTCTACGATAAAATATGAATAAAACCACTTTTGCAACTAAACTTAAATATTATAACATGAAAAGTATTGAATCTTTTGAAATTTAAAAAAAAATTTATTTATTTACGTACTCTTTAATTGAAGCAATGCTTTCACCTTCATCTAAAAAAATTATCCAAATATTGAGTAATTTTCAGTAAAATATACATTGTTGATAATATATTCATTATAAAAAAAATCCTAAAGAATTTAAACTAGAATATTTTGAATTAAATCGCAAAAAGTAGTAATTAAATATATTACACTATTTTGCTGTATTAACGACATGTTATTATTTATGTAATTAGCACGATAAATTCAAGTTAAAAAATGGAATAATTTGTTTTACATGTTAAGATAGTTTTATTTGATGTATTTGAAGGAGGCAATTATTTTTTTTTTTATTATATTATTACTTTGTGAGAAGTGAATTTGATTAGTTAAAAAACATCATACAAGTTTCATTAAATACACGAATAAAGTTTTGAAAGGTGAATAGGATGTAGGGAGGTTGCTGATGACTTACTAACCCTTTTTAGAGTAAAATTTCATTGACTGCAGATAAAAGAGCTGCTCTTTATGTATATTAGAATTCATATGTATGTGTTTTATACTGATAAAAATTTCTATATGTATACATATATAAATAAATGACATGCAACATGTGTCATTCTTTATTTTTTTCGAAAAGTTTCAACCAAAGATAAATTAATCAAGTGAATATAAGAGCTTTTCGGAGTCCGAAATATGACAACAAAATAGATAATGTCATTATAAAAATCGATATATTGCTACTGAAAGCACACTCTATTTATTAATTTCATGATCACGTATTTGTAAATTTAACAAATTTCAAAATAAACTATGAAAATAGTTTGTTCAAAATGTAAGACGTACTTTGAATATTGTAATTATACGAGAGAAATATTTCTATAGTTGTAGATTACTGTTGTATAATATATACATGAATGCGTTTTTCTCGAATTAATTATGTGGATATTGTCGTATTACGTGAAATATGTGAATTATAAATCAAAAGTTATTCGTAAATTGTTCACACGCAATGTTCCACTATATCTATACAGAATACTATAAATATATCTATACATGTGTCACTACGAACAATTGATAGATGAAATGAAAGCATGTAATCCAAAAGCAAACATAACTTTCCTAAAGCTTTACCACTATAATATATTAATTTATTAAATAATTGCTGATATGTTAATATGTACAATTATAATATCATGTTGCTTTATGTTAAAACTTTATAAAAAAAAAATATCTTTTGAAGAGGTCAATTAATTTTATCTACAGACATCGAGTATTTTCCACCTTCCTTATCATCATGATCATCATCATCATCAAATATTTACCTTTTATGAAAACTTGCACATGCACTCTACTTAAAACACTCAACTGACTTTATTTTTTAACAATTGTTGACTATTTTTATAATAAATTATTGATAACAAAGAAATAGAAGAATAAAAAAGTTTGAAATAAATATGGCCAAATAAAATATGAATGTTTATTATTTTGAATAGAAGCAAAAAAGTTTTATTGATTTAATCATTTGAACTTTTGCTGAGTGTACAAATCAACAATAATAATAGCAATTCAACGAATTACTAAGTAATCATAAAATGTTTTTTAAATAATTTATTTGAAATTGCAATTTAAATGATAGTTTAATGAAATCAAAGCACGTAAGACTTCATTAATACTTATCCTCTCAATATTAAAACAGTCACGCTGCCGGTATTTTGAATCTTTGTTGAAAGTATCTCTAATTAAAACTTTACTTTCGAATTTTTTATTTTCAATTTATGATCAACAGATAAGTATTATAAATTATTTATTGTTGAATATTTAAATAATTATTAATTAAGCATTTCAGAAATAAGAATTGAATAAAGCTCGAATAATGTTATTGATAATTTGAACAATTTTTTCTAATTTATTGATAAAAATATTATTCATTACACGGTAAAAATGAAGCCTTAAATGTCATTTAAAGAAAATGTATATATTAATTTATTTTTCGTTTATTATTATTATTATTATTGTTATTATTATTATAATGTATTATTTTTTGAATCATAAATATCTAAAGAAGATACGATCACGATTTAAATATATGAAAGAATGAATAGTCTTAAGTACTGGTGAAGGGATTAATTGAATTCAATTAAAATCACGTTTTGATCAGTTATTTTGTCCTTCTGTAGCAGGAATACATGCAACAGCAACTTTAAGTGGTTTGAGTTGCCATTTTACTTGGAGAGATTCTGGTAATAAAGATTGGTCGATGTACGTATCATCAGCTGCATCACTTCGATCATCAAGTTCCCTTTGACTTAAAACATGAACCTGTAATAATGAATTTAATCGAGATTGATTAAAATAAAATTAAATAAAAAGTACTAATAAATTATCGAGAAATGACATACCTTATAGTAAATTAATTTACATGGATTGAATTTTCCATGACAGGGTTTTGCCACACAACGAGCAGTGGCAAGATATCGAGGATAGTTTCCCTGTCCAAGATCAACAATATCATACTGAGTTTCACAAGGGCATAACCATTGCCAGGGCCCATGAGATGAAAATAAATCTTTCGATGATGAACGTAATTTATTGATTTGCTCAGTATCTTTAGTACGTTTTTCAGCATATAAATATCCTTCAGGGTTATTTATCCAACTTCTATCATCATCTAAGGAATCAGAATCAAGGATAATATTCGTCCACTGTGCTGAATTATAAGCTTGACAATTTTTCATCATTTTTACACACAGTAGAATCATCTAAAAATCATTTTAATTTTTTAAATTATTTATAAAATCACTCAAACAAAAAAATGGATTTCTTAACATACGATAAAATGTTATGTTAATATAATATAATTTTTACGTTATAATGCAATGTTCAAATTTCCACACAAAAGTACATTAAATGAATACATATAATAAAGTGTACTGGTTTGGAATGTTCAGTTGAACTAAAACTCAAATGAGAAATGAAATGAAATTATTGAAATATATATTTGTTAAATTTAACAAAATTTACAAGACTACTATTATTACTATAAACGATTATTTTATCTAAACAAATATTATAATAAATTAATAAATTAATTGTTATTATTTATTTTATTTATCAATAGCACACAAAAATAAAGTGTCATTTTTTTACTATTATAATATTATAATTTTTAATCAAGTGAATAGTTTGAAACGTTTCTACAAATCCGAAATGATTGTTTAAAATTCCACGTATTTATAAAATTGTTTTAATTTAAATAAATTTTATTTAACACAAATTAATTAATATTTCATATCGGGTTGATTGTTAAATCAATCTAATACTAAAAACTAGTTAACACTGAATGACATCTTACACAAACAATTGTAGTCTTCATTTCTGTTTCTTTCTACTCTAACGGAATGACCAGACTGGTAGACTAGTTATGAGAGAAAAAATATTGAATCTATACCTTATATACTGAATTCTAACAAAGGATAAACTGACACCCCCATAATGCCAAAGGTGATACATCCTTAACTCAGGAATCCATTAGATGTTATTTGATAGCAGAAAATAATATCAAAACTAAACCGTTGTTGATTATGTGAAAGACTCACGACAGGTTTTACATCTAATGAGAAAGTAAATTTTTATAACAGTAAATATAAATATTTACGAAATATTTAAAAAAAAACCCCATTTTGTGTAAATATACCATACATAAAGATTGTTTGAAGAAATGAAATTATCAAACTCTTTTTTTTTACTGTTTTATGTATAATATGTACATTCATTACTATTATTATTATTATTATTATTACTTACACAATGCCTCATAATACATATTTGTATGTGAAAACCAAATAAAATTTTTCCTAAAGTAGATGAATATCGATAACAAATAAATTTGTTGATAAAGAAATCTTTTGTAATCATTGTACACCATGAAATGTACTGTTTTTGATTTAACTGATTTTTATGATGTTTGACTTACAGATATAACATTTTTTTTGTTAAATCCAATTTGATAGATTCAAATTTTTGTAAAATAGTAAATGTATCTATCAAAGATGTTATTTCAAAAAAAAAAGTTGAATTCCTTCAATCAGCCTAAGGTTATTTTGAATATTGTAATGCGGTTCGTTCATTTTTCAAATATTCTGCAGGGCAGGGTGAGTAGTATCTGCAATAGAAGAAATACACTTTGATTATAAAAAAAAAAAATATAAGGGTAGATAAATAATGATTAATGAAATGTATGAAATGTTAATTCGACCTTAAATAATGTTGTCAGATAAAGATGCAATCACACATAAGATAAATATTTTAATTGCTTATGAGATTAGATGATTATTTGAATGCAATACTTTTGAATATGCAACTGTTTTTGATTAAATGAGATAATTAAAATGCTATAACATTAAAATAAACAATAAAAGGACCTCTCAGTATATACTATTATAATAATATGCTGCTAATTTTTTCTCTCATTATGACAAAATATAATACTTGAAAAAAAAATTATTTCGCTGTAGTAAAGAATTTAATAGTTAATGTCTTCTTTTTAAAATACGCTTCTTTGATTATATTACGGGCTATAAGATGATATTAAAAACCTTAAGAGTCTTTGTAGTATAATCATTTTAATTATTAATTTAATAATAAAACTCATGGAATATTATTTATAGAATTATATTAATGATTGATTATGGAATAATTTTTAACTGTAATAAAATTTATCGAATGAATATTTATGTGGAGATCAGAAAAAGTTTTTTTTTTCACAATCATATCATAAAAATATTCACTTGATTGCGCGCGCAAGCATTCTTTTCCCACTCTCTTTCTCTTGAAAGCTGCGGAAAGCTCTATATAATTCAGGATATCACGAACTCCAGACATTGTGTTGCCCACACGTTTACGAGATTCAACTGTTTTATCGATCAACCAAGTCTTTTGATCGACTCAGGATCCATTGATTTAACTCTTTTACTACTTGTCATTATTTAAATAAGAAAACTTCTGTGGATCATGTTTTCGATTCGTCTAATGAGTTGCTTAGTGTTATTTTTTTTTGTATTGTCCATCACTTCGGCTGTTCCTGTTCAGGTAAATGTATGTTAATAAAACTAATAATTAGATTTTTTATATTTTAAAATAAATTCATTCTATTTTATACTTTTTCAAATGTATCACTTCAATTTTTCATTATTTTATCATAGTAAATATTAATTATCTTAATGAATGCATGCACAGTATACAATGCACAATGTTGTTTATTAATGGAAAGTTGAAAATTTGAATTACATTTTTATTTAAAGATAACGTAAAAAAACATCATCTATTATTTATTTATTTGTCGTAAATAGTAGTAGAACGTTAAAAAATATAATATTTTAATAATGGTATAGAGAATATGAAGAAAAAAAAATTAAATCATCCATTCATTCAATAAAAAGGTAATTACGATCTTGATTCTGAACATTTTGACATGACTGTAAGTTTTATATCATCTTCCTTGCGAACTCTTAACTTTTTCCATGCATACTGATATACAAGTGCAAGGATAGAGTTTACAACATGAATTTATCCTCTCACCCTACGGGAAATATACTTAAAGAGGTGTATCTAATACATGTTTTCAAATTTATTCACCGGTTATAAATTTGAATTTAAACTAGAGAAATTGTGTTATAGAGCTCTACTGAGATTTTTCTTCATCTTCACATATTTTTGGTGATAAATCTTTTTTTCATTCATATTATTTATCTTTTCTACAGAATAAATACAATAAGCAAAAAAAATAAATAACAATTAATTTATTACATAAAGAAAAAAAACCCTTATCATTTTTTTAGAGATATTTATTTCATAAATTCATCAAATAAATATTATTTTTTCTAAAATAAAAGTATATGATTTTAAATAAATTTTTAATTAAATCACAATGTGAAAATTAAAACCAAATTATACTGTATAATTGTTTTAAAGTAAATGATGAAACTTATAATCTTTTCCATAATTTATATTATGCGATTATTAATATTTCAAATTTAAAGATTACGAACTCAAAACAATATACATTATTTATATTTTCAACGTTTATATATTACCGTTTTATTGTTTTTAGCTTCATGAGGAGCCAATGGAACTTAATGAAATTTATGCTTCACCAGAATTCGTTGAAGCGTTAGCACGAACTTATGCAGCCATGAGTGAGTTATTTCTTTAGTTTATTATAGTTGAACAACATAACTAATGCTTCCATCATAAAATAATCTATCATGCTTTGCAAAGATAATAATATAAGAACACTGATAGGATTATATAATTTGAATCTTTTTTCTCCCTCAATTATTTCAAAGTCAAAACTCTTAAAAAACTTTTATTTATTACATTAATAATTTATTTATGTAGTTCTCTAGTAATTGCTTTTAAAATTACATAAAATCATAAATGTACATTTTTAAAAAATCGATGATTTAGCATAATATTTGCAATAATAATATTCGTATTTTGCAAGTTTCTAACATTGTCTGCAGATGACAATAAACAACAAGCTTAGACTATTTATTGTATTTTTTCATTTCTAAAGTAGTATCAATTAAATGTAGTTGACCTTAAAAAAAAGCAAAAATGGACGTTTTCAAATAAATGTACACACTATTTACACGCTACCAGAATTATTTCCGGTAGCGTGACTAACTTACAATGTTTACTATTAGTAGGATACTTTGTTCTTTATGCCTTTTCACGCTCAATATACAGCTTGAATAGTAAAAATCATGTCAATGTATGTTTTGCTCACTAATGATGATATGTGCCTTTATAATCACTTCTCATATCTTCGTTAACATTGATATAAACAATAATAATACAGAAAATAATGAAACATTTATGAAATATTTATATTCGTTATAGTTAATTAAAAATTAAATTGTGATAATTATAGGTTGCGTGACATCGTAAAAAAATGACCATAAACAAATAATAACGTATTTCCCTTGAGATTTGGCACACCTTACTAATGATTAGTATTCATACAAGTTAATCTATCACTAATTCGTCTTTTAATTAATAATACATATTTTAATATTTTTTAAAAATATTGATAAATAATTTCAAATGTATAAAGATGAAAATACATTCTTATCTTTCCTCTATACTTATCTTTTTGCTTTACGGTAACGTTTTCCATGTCTGTTGAATATATTATATGTGAATAATGTGATATGTCATATTTAATATAACTTAATCATATTCGTCAAGGATTAAGTATTATAGCTTTTTTCATTTGTGATATTTATAATAACCAAAATCGTAAGTATAAGATTAATGTATACAAATATGTTGGAAAAAGTGATCTGTGTATTGTGTGTTGTTTATTTTTCATTTGCTTATGTTATAAATTAATGTATGTTATAACTATAAAATTTATTAGAAATATTTTTAAACAATTTCAATAGTTTTAATAATTATACATAAACTAATTTACGTTCAATGTATTTATTTATTTAACTGAATAAACAATTATTTTATTCATAATTTCTCTCAGATTAATAATAATAAAATTGCAGTATGGGCTCATAAAATTGAAGATCCTGCTAATGGTATGGTGGTGCGAAACTTGGATCAAATTGGCGGCGGGAATTTGCTTAGATCATTAAAGCAACGTCAAGCTTTTATTCATCAACACAATTTAGACTGAATTGAAGGTGGAAATCTTGTATACCATTTGACACGCTTTGAATTTCAGAGATATAACCACGAATAATTACTATTTCATTTAACCTCCCGCAAATTGTCAACAAAGACACTTAATATTATACATAACTATTCTCTTATACAATGTATCTACATAATAATTATTGATGGAATCGATAACTTAATATTTTAAATTTATTATTATGTACATTCTGTGTATTTAATAAATCATTTATCAATATGAAGACGTAAAATTTGTTGAATTATATTATTATTATTATTACACCCAATGGATAAATTTATATGAATTTCTAGTGATACCAATAGCTTTGTAATCATTTATCCATCAATTTAATTCAGGTGGAACAAAGGGACAAAGCTCAGGAGATAACACACATGCTGTTCGTCGACATCAATCTGGCCGGCTGCTTTCGAGTGTGACATTTGGAGATAATCGAGATTTTGATTTTCACATCAGGTAAATTAAATAAATTTCAACTTTTTAACATGAAATAAAATTCATATCTTAAAGATACTTTTATTATTATAATTCATATTTATAAGAATATTTATCAATATTATTATTCAATCTTACCGAATATTTATTTAATTAATATGTTAAAATTCGCAATTATTTGATTTATTTGTAAATAAACTAGAACAAAATTAATATTTTATATACATAAAGTAATTTATCATAATTATAATTATTATTGTAATTGTTATTATATATAACTATCTTTTTTAGTAATCTTGAAAGAGAAAATATAGAAATATATCAAAGATAAACATTTTCAAATGTCATGCAAACTTACATGCAATTGGCAAGTTTGTGCAATTTCGTATTGTCTTTATAAAATCCAGGACAACAGGTAGTTGAAGCTTTTTGTCTAATTATAGTATGTATATAATCGATGAAACGACACGTTATCGATTTTACTAAGTGTTCAAGGTGACAGCAAAAAATCACCATGGAACAAATTCTAATTACTTTAAACAAACAGAAATTTAAATACACAATGTAAATATTTTTAATGTAACATATTTATAATTTTTTTTAATTTTCTAAAATAACAATACAACAACCACATTATACATATTAAACTATAAAAATAAAATATTTAATTATTTAAACCGGAAATGTAGATAATACCATAATAACTATAAAACGAAATATTTTTTGAACAAATAAAAAAGCATGGCATTAGATTATAATGATAAACATGTGATAAGGGTAAATAGTGAATATGACAAGCGTCAAAAAAGCATATTCAATTATAATCATCCAAACAATACGGGTTTCTAAAATATCCAACGATAATATAATAATTTGATGTATTAATTGAAGTGGTTTAGTAAATGATGAAATACAATTACATATTTTTAGTGGTTGTAATTAATTATTTAAAATATAACTATAATACTAAAAAATATAATTATCTAATACCAAATATGTTCATATATGAATGATTGTTTCAGAAAACCAGAATGGGCTAATAGTATAAACGGAATGGAAATTTATGGAGGATCAATAAAACGTAATATTGATGAGATTGATCGATCAAGTTTTGATAACTTTGTAAAAAGAAATTTTGATGAAATCGATCGATCTGGATGGGATAGTTTTGTCAAGAGACGCATAATGAATGCTTATCTTGCAAGTCGACCGCATTAGTCAATATTATTTGAATTTTTTTTTGTAGCACTGAAAAACTTCAAAATCAATGACTATCACGAAATAAACACGATTTACCATTTTGAGTATTTTAAAAAAAGAACATGAGCAAATACTCGCATATTTATTTTTCTGACTGATATTTATTGCAGTATTTAAAAAAAAAAAAAATAAGAAAATAATGTTAAGAATTAAAGATTGAAAAAAAAAAATTATTAATTATTAAGTAATAATACTATCTTTTCAATCTTCGATTATATTGATGGAAAATATTGAAACAATGATGACTTAAAAAGATACTATCAAACACAATATAATTCTATTTAATGACATTGTACGAATGTGTAATCAAAAAAGTATATCACAAATAAATTCTACAATATTTAGTGTCAATTTAGTCTCTTTTATTTTGTGATAATAATGATAAAAAGTTTATGCTTTTATGTTCATCAATGTAATGATACTTATCAAAGAGAAAACAAATGTAACAAAAAATTACAAAAATTGTATTGATTTTTATTTGGATTCTACAAATAACGGAATATCAAAAATAATCAAATTTCGCTGTTAAAAGTATATATTTAAATAAAAGTGTGAACTATTTAAACTTTAACCAATTTAAGTGTCATATACATGTAAATTATAACATAATAAAAAATGAACAAACAATAAATGTATTGTCAACAATAGTTATTGCTTGAAAAATTTATTATTCATTATTACTTATTATTATTTATTGACAATTCAAAATCAATGTTTATTTTACTATTAATGTATCATTTCAATTAAAAGTCATTCTTTTCTTAAAAATTTATTTAATGCAAATTTTTATTACTTCTTTTTCATTTTTAATGATATTTTATTTATTTCTCTATTAATATCTGTTGGTGTTGAAATCATTATATCTTCCATTTTACAGTTAGTTTTTACGAGCTAAAACAATAATTAAATACTACTGATGATACAAATTAAAAGTAAATAAAATAAATTATTGTTACAAATAATAAATTAAATTATTACTAAATGCCTAATATTTTTGTTCACCTCAATAATTTTTTGTTCCATGTGACGAAGCCGTTTTAAAAGCATTTTCATCTCTGTATTAAATTTGGTTAAATCATGAGTAATCTTCAGTTCATTACCAATATCAGTTTCAATCTAATAAAATATATTCCAAAATATTTAGTCTTTATTCAATGATTAATTTGAATATATGAAACAATTCATAAAAAATACCGCTTTTATAGCTTCTGATAATTTTACTGTTGTGAAATCCAAATTTGATCTTGATTCACAGACCTTTCAAATATTTTTATAATCAAATAATAATATATTAAAAAATTTGTAAGACTCAATTAAGCTAATTCGTTTTACTAATTTAAGAAAAAAAACATCAAATACAATACACTTTTTATTAAAAAAAAAAGTACTCACAATAGAATTGAAAGCTTTTATTTCAGATACAAACTTGTAATGATTTTTTAATACCTGCAAAAACTATGAAAATCGATATAATATTAAAATATTATGTAATAAAGATTTTTTATGAGTTAATTTAAAATTAACTTACTTTAAGACCGAAATAAAGTGCCAAAATAAAGTTAAAGATGACCAATACAATGCTATTAAATATTAATGATATAAACATTTTCTTGCAATAAAAATATCATGCAAAGGGAGAATGAAATAAAATTTATAAGAAAAAATTATTAAATTTAGCTTATTTAATCAATATGAAAATTAAATTTTAAGACATTCCCGCTTCTGGCAAAAATGTTCCTGTTGGTTAGGTTAGATAATGAACTGTCAGATTTTAGTTTTAAAAACAGCCGTTGATTTATCAGCGCTAACCACTGTGTGTATATTTAGTTCGTATAAGATTAAAAAATATGCAAAAATATGAAAAACTTGAAAAAATAGGAGAAGGTAAATAATATAAAACGAATAACAACCAAATAGTGAATAATTCTATGATGTAAAAGAAAATAAAATCTTTCTTATGTATTCTAATTAAATTATATGTCTAAACAAACGGTCTATATTGATCATTAGGTAATTAACTATCTATAAATTAATATTATTTAATTTCAGGTACATATGGCACTGTATTTAAAGCTAAAAATCGTGAAACTCAGGAAATAGTAGCACTCAAAAGAGTTCGATTAGATGATGATGATGAAGTTAGTAAAATTTTAAGGTTAACACATTAATATATTTATGAATGATAATTATTAAATTGATTTTTATTATGATATTTTAGGGTGTTCCCTCGTCAGCTCTACGTGAAATTTGTCTTTTAAAAGAACTTAAGCATAAAAATATAGTTCGTCTTTATGATGTTCTTCATAGTGATAAAAAATTAACTTTAGTATTTGAACATTGTGATCAAGATCTCAAAAAATATTTTGATAGTCTAAATGGTGAAATTGATTTAGATGTTGTCAAATCATTTTTGTATGTATTTTAATTTTTATACTTTAGCATATTTATTTATCAATTAAAAATAATTATAATCATTTTAATTTAGATATCAATTGTTACGGGGATTAGCTTTTTGTCACAGTAAAAATGTTTTACACAGAGATCTTAAACCTCAAAACTTATTGATTAATAAGAATGGTGAATTGAAATTAGCTGACTTTGGGTTGGCAAGAGCATTTGGTATTCCAGTAAAATGTTATTCAGCTGAAGTCGTTACATTATGGTATCGTCCACCTGATGTTTTATTTGGAGCTAAACTCTACACAACATCTATTGATATGTGGAGTGCAGGCTGCATATTTGCTGGTATTTTTTCATATTTATTTTATAAATTGCGTTAGTAGACTGATCTTTATTATTATAATTAAAGAAAAAATAAATTAAATCATCAATTTTAGAATTAGCAAATGCAGGAAGACCACTTTTTCCTGGATCAGATGTTGATGATCAACTTAAGAGAATATTTAAAATGTTAGGTACTCCAACCGAAGAATCATGGCCAGACTTAACGTCTTTACCTGATTATAGAGCCTTTCCTCAATATCATCCAACTCAAGGATTAGCTCAAGTTACACCTAAACTCCCGACGAAAGGAAAAGATTTATTACAAGTGAGTTGTTTTTAAATTAAATACAACATAAAAATTTATCAGAAAAAATCGACTTAGAATTTTAATTTTTAATAGTTTATGTACGTTCCAAATATACAATTTAATATTAATCTAAATAAAAAAATTACATATTAATAAAATAGATTTTAAGCATAATCAATCTTTCTTTGGATTTCTAGAGATTATTAGTATGTAATCCGGCATTAAGGCTTTCAGCTGATGAAGCAATGGCACATCCTTATTTTAACGACTTAAACCCTGCCATCAAGAATGATCGATGTCAATAACATGTTCCCGTAAATTGAGATACGACTGACTATACATAGTGCATAAAGCACAATGACCAAAAAAAAAACACTCCAGGAAAGATTATTTATTATGTAAAGCGTGCTAATGTACGATTATAAAACTGTGAAATATTTATGAATCTTATTTTATATGCAACTGTCCAAAACTAATCAATAAATTATGAATTTTACGACAAATTATCTATTGATTCTCATAAAGTTATCTTATAATACAATCTTTATAGAATAACAATTACTTAAATAATCAATTAATAAATAAATTAATTAATAATTATAATAATAATGAAAATAATTTTTTAAAAAAACTTAATAAAAGAACATCACATAGCGTCGAAATGAAATCTATGTGCTTCTTGTAGTCTTTCTATTTTATCTTCGCGTCTTTCTTTCCAATATAAACCAATAATGATAGTAGTTATTAAACCGCATGTCCCCATAAGAGCAGCAGCACTCAACAATATTAGTTTACTTGGTGTCACAAATAATTGGGCTTTCCATCTCGACGATTCAGTAATTGGATTTGGAATTACGACCATTTGTGAGTTTGGAATAATTTGTGGCCACTCTCTTGACTTACCTGCAACCTAATAATAAGTAACTCATTAATAAAAAAAATTAAAACAACGGCATATTTAAAATAGATTATTCTCTAAAAGAAAAATTTCATTTTACAAACCCCAATTGTAAGCATATCGATAAAATTAGGAGTTCGACCAAGTCCAAATGTAGTATAAGGCAAATTTAGAGAAAAATGTGCACTTTGTGGAATTTGGGCTGCAGTACCACTTCTAGGACTTCCATCTTGAGTAGTAGTTTTATAAGCAATTGATGGTCCTGGTAAATTTGTTCCATAAGTTCTCTTTTTTTTACCCAAACTTCCCGGTGAAATAGGATATTTTCTATTTACAAGTCCCGTAAGAACCATTACTTTAACAAAATTAGCATCATAATCAAGACTATTTTTAAATGCTCCAGTACGATATCGATTTGTAGTCTCATTATATTCCACTAACATTACATCGAGAATTCCATCTTGATAAAAATCATAAAATACAGCCATTACTGTTTGATTTCTAAATGGATTCAATGCATTCCAATGTATTTCAAAAGTACGATTTATATTTTCACAAGTTGTACATGGTACATTTAATAGTAAGAATGATTCCATTTTTAATGATTTTGTTGATTTTAAAGTTGCTAATAAATCTGGATATCCATCCATGTTGAAGTCTCCCCCATGTAAAGTAATAGCATCAACATAAACAATATTCTTTTTGCTGTTTGGCGTTACAAAACCCCAATTAACATTATCTTTATCTTTGAAATCGACATGTAAATCATGCCATCCATTATTATTATAAACAGCAATTGTACAGTTTGTGCATTGATTATCATAACAAATTGGCACTACTAAATCCAGTTTACCTTTTAATTCAACATCAAGATATAATGCTTGTCCAACATGTCCAGTACTAAATGAAGTAATTCCTGGTGGCCATGAAATTCGTTGATTAAATTTAAATCCTTCAGATGATCCAAGCCAAACTTCAAAATCATTTTCTGTCGTAATCATTAGATCTGGTAAATAATCTCCATTTAAATCTAAAAAGGCATTAGAATGTGGACTTTTGATAAGTGGTGAATTAATTTTTTGCGAATCCATTAGAATTGTATAAGGTATACTTCTATTATGATTAATCCAAAATGTTCTTTCATTCTTTTCATTTAAACCAAATAAGTCAATCACCATATCTTGATTGTAATCAACGGCTAATGGCTGACCGTGCATTTTAATAAATGGTGTTGATTCATTAGAGCAATTAAGGCTATCAATACCACCCCATAATAAGTGGACATGAGTTAAATTGTCTTCCTGGTTATGAGTTGTTACCAAAACATCCATGAAAACATCTCCATCATAATCTCCAGGAACTACACTTGTAATAATATTTTTGAATGAACAAGTGAGATTTGTAAGTTGTAATAATGGTTCTTGATCCGAAGCACGAAGAATTTGAAGTGTCTTTAAATCTTTTGTTAATACAAATACATCTGTTAATTCATCAGAGTCAAAGTCACCAAAAGCTGCTGGTAGTCCATCGAGGAAATTCCCGAATATCGCGAATGTTATATCACTGCTGCTTGATGATGTTATTGAAATAGAAAAGAATAATATCAAATATCGAAAATCCATTTTAAATATTAATAGAATAAAAGAAACTCTTCGTCAAACATTGAGGTTATCTATATGTTTTTAAAAGATTTCACCAATTTGTTTCGGGACTTGATTAAATATTTTACGTATGTCTTTTAAAACATTACAATAATTATATTTCTCTTGATCACTACACATTTATACATACATATGAATATGTAAGTACATAACTGTATTTTATGTTTTTAAGATTAAATTGAAACCATTTTTCAAACAGATCACAGTAATAGATGTATTATTTTTCTTACATATAAACTAAACGAATCAAGTTATATATGAACAAAGAACAAAATACATATGTGTGTAGTTATATGTATGTATGTACATACATAGATTTTGTTGTATGTAGTTGATAAGAAACATTTTGTTTTTACCATTATATACGCTAAATATTCATCATTACTGATAGATGTCGTTTAATGAAAATAACTAAAAATAAATTTCGCTTTTTCAGGTTATCCTCTCTTATTTTTCCTGTGTCTTCGGTAAATGCGATACAGTTGGGGTAGTCGTATGTCGGCTGCAGCGGGGAGAATTCCAGGAGCCTCCATACACTGGAATCCTCTCTGGTTAGAGTCAGGGAAGGGTAAATCTTAATACAAATTCAAACGCTGAATATGCATACAAGCTATGGCCATTATGGTGCTCTTTAGTACCAACGCGCCAGCTTCCGGCAAGACCGAGAGCTACAAATAATAATAATGATATCCTCTCTTATTAATCAAAAAAATACGTCGTTTGTATGTAATGTTATTATGTTGATTACAAAATATTCATAGCTTCAAGATTCAATACTTTAACCTGAATAAAAGCAAATAACTAATTGCACTTTGTCATAAAATTCTATTAACAGAAAATGAATTCACCTTCATACGTAAATGATGAAAGAAAGGTTTCGCCTGAATCTATGATTGTTCTCGTTAAATGTGAAAAAAACAACCCAAAAATTCATGATATATATGTAAACAAAAATAATGTAAGTATTATAATTCTACAATCAATAAAAATACATTGTTTTGTATTTTTATTTGTATTTTTATTGTAAATTTATTTATTGTATATTTGATAAGTTTACGTACATAGTACAATAAAAAATTTTGTTTTTTTAACGAAAAAAAAAAGATAAATAAAAATATTAGAGTAAAACATTTCTTTTTGCAAGATTTGTTAATGCTACAATGATACAGTAAAATTTGCTTATTGATGATGATAGTAATTAAATAAATAATAATGAAAAAATTTTAAGTGATTAATTATTATATGATTTTTCAGTTCAAAATTGGAAGAAATCGTGATTGTGATGATCATATTTTAGATACTTGTATTTCAAGGAATCATTGCATTTTAAATTACGAAAATGAACAGTGGACAATTACTAATTTGAGTTCAGTTGGTACAAAAGTAAATGGAATTCTGCTTCAGAATAATTGCCCTCAAACTATTGATGTAGGAGATATCATTCAGCTTAACGAAGAATGTGATGAGTTTAAATTTTGTGTAAAATATTTTCTCGATGATCAACCTCAAAAGAAAAGAGCTAAAATAGAAGAAACAATTTTTCATGACGAAATAGCAAAACAGAAATTATTTGCCGAAGAGCAAGAGGCAAAACGAAAAGAACTAGAACAACAATTAAAATTACAACAAAATGAACAAGAAAAATTAAAAGCACACTTAGAAGAAGTGCTGAAAAATCAACAAGCTACTGAAGGTAAAAATGAAGAACAAAATGAATTAATAAGATGTCTTGAAAAAAAAATAGAATCTGGAAATGAAATTGAATCCAAATTAAAAGAAAATTATGAACATCTTCTGAATACAGTTGAATTGCAAAAGCAAAAATTTGAAACTTTACTAAATGAAGAACGACAAAAATGGCAGCAAACTTTAGATATGACTAAACAAGAAAAAACATTACTTGAGAAAAAAATGTTAGAAGATATGGCTGTATGGAGACAAAATCAACATGCTGAATGGACTAGTGTTGTAAATGATATAGTAAAACGTGAAAAAGAAATACAGTATCAACTATCTAATGAAAAAGCCATTTTAGAACAGAAATTAAGAGATACCCAAACGGCTCTTGAAGAAAAAACTGCTTTAGCTGAACAATTACAAACTTCTGTTCAAAATCAACAGAGTAAGTAACTTTATAATAATTTCCAAATTTAACAATAATATTCTTTTTCAATATCTTGGTTTATTAATCGATTGTTTTAATTTTACTAGTGGTTATATTAGAAATAACGGCTAATAATGTTAATCAAGAACCTTTGGTGACAATAGATTTAACAAAGGAAGATGGTTTGAATGTTGCTAGTTCATCAAGAAATGATAATTGTGAACCTGATGCAGTAGTGACTCAAGTTGGAAATCTAATGGATCAAACGTTGACTTGTCAAATTTGTTCAGAACTTTTTGTTAACGCTGTCACATTGAATTGCAGCCACTCATTTTGCCAGTATTGTATACATTTATGGATTAGAAAGAAATGTGAGTGTCCAATATGTCGAGCCAAAATTATGTCTATTAATAGATCACTAGTATTGGATAATTTTATTGAACAAATGGTCAACGATTTTACACCACAAAATAAAGAAAAAAGAAAGGAATTAGTGAATGAACATCAAGGTAATTTTCAATATGAAATAATCGAGTTCAATTTATTAATAACATAATTCTGTCAATCTATGTATTCATATTTATATATATTATTTTTAGCTGCCATTCGGACCGTTGGATTAAGTAACCAATCAAATATTATTAATTATCAAAGAAAAAAAGTGATTCGGGGACGTCGATAAAATATTATAAATAAATATATCGATTTCAATCGAGAATCTCAGGTATTATTTATTTAAATGAAAATACATTAAATTAATTATTTAACGTAGTTCTAATGTTAATAAAAAAAATGCAGTTTTATAATATGTATTACAACTTTCAGTTTAAGTTTTATTAAGTAACTTTATTCAATTCTGAAAACAAAATGTTTGCCTGTTAAAATGTTTGTAATGTAAAATTACAAAAAGAACATTTAAGATACAGAGCGAATTCGTTAAGTAGACAGTCTCATTTGATTCAAGACTAGATTTATTTATTAATTGTGGTGATTCATTTAAATTATTTTTTATACAACATGGTGTTGAAGTAACGCCTTGAAGTTGATATTTGTACCTCATCCTTTTACAAATGCCATTCTGAAAAGCAATTTTTAACATAAATGTTTATATAAATAATTAAATTATAATCAATCTATTTTCATTAAAGTATTTTTAATAAAACTTGTATTATCCATGACTGAATAATATTTACGTGAAATAATTTATGAAAAATCGCTTTATTTATTTCTTATCCATAATAAGTCACTAATCACTTTTTTCTTTTACGCACTATCTATTATTATTTCCACTAGGATATATTGTGCACATAACGTAATCTCATTTTTATTACTATCATTGTCATAAGAATAACTTAAGAATATTAGTAAATCTATATAAGTTCATTATTCTCCAACTACTCTCATTTGGATGGTTCTTCTATATTGATATTAAATCCTGCCTCTCTTCTCTGTGGATGGCGTGGGTTTTCTCTGTCTTCTCTCTGGGGAAGAGTAGATGGCGAGACCTGTCAGCGATCCAAGAGGGCGGACACAGACTCTCTAACCAAGATAATAGTTGACAGAAGCTATCAAGACTGCGACAATTAAATATTAAATTCTTTCTAAATTTTTTTTACTTTCATTGTATTTAGTGAATTCTCTATTATTCTAACATTTAAATTTAAAAAAGGTATTTCTCCATCCATATTATATGAATTTATTGAACATTGTAATAACCGGCATGATAAGCATTATTTTTATGTTTCTAAACAAACAACAAAGATAGACGATATATTTTTTAATTTATTATATTAATTGCAGATTGTGGCGTTTTGTTTTAAATTACAAATATCAACGATTAGCCATGGGACCAATGATATTTATCTTTGCTGTATTAGCACTCCAAAGTGCAACAGCTCATGATGAAAGTATTCATACAATTCAATATAATGAAGAGAGTTTTCTAACTGAAGTTCCAAAGAAAAATCATTTTATCATGTTCTATGCTCCATGGTATAATAAATAATAGAAATTATACTACATATTTCACAATTATCGTCAATTATCAAAATATATTAAACTTTTGTAGGTGTGACCATTGTCAGCAACTTATGCCAACTTGGGATATTTTAGCAGAAACGTTAAATGGAAAAGATGATCGTGTTTACATTGCCAAAGTCGATTGCACTACAGATAGTTCTATTTGTACTGAACATGATGTCACTGGTTATCCAACGTAATTAGTTTTTGCTGTAAATTAAAAATATTTATATATAACTTATATTAATTACTTTTTTTAGGCTCAAATTCTTTAGAATGGGAGAAAGTGAAGGAGTTAAATTCAGAGGAACAAGAGATTTACCTTCATTGAAAAATTTCATAAATGAACAGTTAGGAAGTGTACCAGAGGTGATATAAAATTTGGAAATATATTCTTTTCCATTATCATCGTCAAACTATACCTAATACAATTTTTATCAACTTTTTTAGGAAAATGAAATAAACATAGCAGTTCCAGAGGCTGTCAATGGATTAACTGAGTTAACAGAATCTACGTTTAAAAATCATGTAGCCACCGGGTTTCATTTTGTTAAATTTTACGCTCCATGGTGTGGACATTGTCAAAAATTGGCTCCAACATGGGAGGAACTTGCTAAAAGTTATAGTTATGATACAACAGTAAAAATTTCCAAAATCGATTGTACTCAATATCGATCTATCTGTGATCATTATGAAATTAAAGGATATCCTACTCTTTTATGGATTGAGAATGGTAAAAAAGTTGATAAATACTCAGGATCTAGATCCCATGAAGATTTGAAAAAATACATTGCACAAATGCTCCGTAAAAATAGTGATAAGAATGATGATGATGGTGATGATACAATGAATGATAATATTCAAGCAGTTTTGAATTTAACTGGAGAATCATTTGAACATGGAATAGAAAAAGGAGTTACATTTATTAAATTCTTTGCTCCGTGGTGTGGTCATTGTAAACGTTTGGCACCTACATGGGAAGAGCTTGGCAAAAAATTTATTGACAATCCAGATGTTCATATCGTTAAAGTTGATTGTACGTTATCATCAAATAAGCAGTTATGTGATGAGCAAGAGGTTGACGGTTTCCCAACACTTTTCTTATACAGAAATGGTAAGAAAATTGCCGAGTACAATGGGTCACGTTCTCTTGAAAATCTCCATGAGTTTGTCACAAAACACTTTGGATCTCATGATGAGCTTTAATTTTATTTTCATGTTCTGTCAATTTGTTCTTAAAAAAGACGAAATTTATATTACATAATCTAGCTAGTAAGATTAATAATCCTATATAATTTTTATAAAAAAATCAATTTGAAAATTAAAAATGATTCTTAGCCAGTTTTTGTTATCAATACGAATAGATAAAAACTTTTTTTTTCATCTTTTATACAATATTCTTGTGATGAGTCATTATTATCTCAGTGATATGTTTAATTTAAACTATAATGAAATATAATACAAAAACTGGTGTAACCATTCTGGACATGATCAAATGAATTTCATGACATTATAGATTATGATTATTTAAAAAATTTATTATTTTTACAATTAATATAGTATTGACATTGAATAATAATTGATAACTATATTGTGAAGGAATTGTGCTTCCTGATTTTATTCATAGTACATCTGAATAGTTTGATAAATCTAAATATTTATGAATCAATATCGAAAAACAATCATTCCGTTTGCTTTGCAAAATTAAATAATATTTTTTTGTTTGAAAAGTATTCAATCATATAGCATGTTCTTCCAAATTAGATATGTAATTTTAGTTTGAAGAGGTATTTCCATGAAAAAATTTCCATTTATACTTAAAAAATGACATATTGCTCTCTTGATTTAATAAACTAAAGTAAGCGACCAGTTTTTGTAATCAATCGAATTTTGTTAAATTCAGAATAATTAAATTAGTAATAAGTGAAGCAACTATTACTTAAAGATAAAAAATTTTCATATTTTTATTAGAATAATAAAACATTAATTTCACAGAAAATTCTTCAATGAATAATTTAAAAAATACATCTATCAATTTTATTGACTGCTATGATTTGATTAATATTTTTGGTCAACTAAACTGACATTCTAAGAGTTACAAATGTAAAAATTCAAGAAATAATTAAATAAAAAAATTGATGCTCTAACTTGACTAATAAATGGACTGGTATTACTAAAAATTTATATACAAACAAAATAAATGTTTTATATAATTTTTTTATCAATGTATCTGTGTGTGGAACAATCATAAACTGTAATCTATTCTATATTTGATACTGTAAAATCTCAATTCTAACAAATAATATGTTTTTTTTTTATCAAAGATATTAACATTTTTTTTAATAATAATCAGTGACTGTATGACAGTTGAAAATATCTAGCAAAGAACTTATTAGTGTATCACAGATGATGCCTCAAGTAAAAATACGTTTTTCATATCATATGTATTTATGTGATTGAATATATTGAATATATTTCAGAGAGTGCTTTTTGATAGATACATATACATTCATTTCATTTACAGGAGTAAAACATTTACAACTACTTTACAGAATTATCAATAAGATATGTACTTACAGTAATCACATAAAATTTTTTATTCATAGACTAGAAACATATATTAATTTTCTAAATCAAGATCAACAGTATTGAGACTAGTAAAAATTACTATCAAAAGTAACAAATGTGTTGTATTTCATGTTAGAAATAAAACATATAGTTAGTAAATGGGATTCTTTAATATTTAAAATTACCTAGAAAGTCGTTTATTTTTTTAGCTCAGCACTTCTTTGGAGAGTCATCATTGATAATGGATCATGACTAGCTTTTAAATCTATAACAAAAATTCAAATAATAAAGATATTGTGACTATATCATATTAATTATTTAACAAATATTCACCGTCTAATGAATCATCTATTTGATATATATTTCCAAGTAAACGTGCAATTGGTATGTCCCCAATTGTTTCTCGGAAGAATAGAAGTTCAATGGTGGTCGGTTTCACTGCATGTAAACTGGGTAATGTCAGTAAAAACCTTCCAAATCGTTCAGGTTGTCGAGGATATCGGGTTCGAATGTAATCATTAAGAATACATTGAGCTTGGTCTTGAAGTGCTTCTACTGGTTTTGGGTCTGTAAGACCTTTAGTTTCTAGAAAAATAAAAACACAATAGCTACATAATACTTGAAAAGCATAAAAATAAAATATAAATACAAGATTTTGCTATAAATTAAAAGTTTTTTTTTATTCTTAATTACCTGGCCTGAAAAGAACTACAGCTTTCATGCAACCACACTCGCCACCATCAGGAGATAATTGTCTGAATCGACTCACAATATCCTAAAGAAGCGGTAAATTATTAATGATACATTGATCAATAATTTCAAGGATAAAAATGTTTGAAAAATAAATTTTTACTCTGATTGTAAGAAGTTCCTGATGAGATGATTCATCAGAAGGTAGTCTATTACGAACGCGATCATCTTCAAGAAGGCCTGATATATCCCAAGATAAAGACCATTGTGCTAAATGTAAAAGAAAAAGTTGTGTCCATGTTTGTTGAAGTAAAACTAAACGATCATCTTTTGAAAGTGTTTGAAAGGGCGCTAAAGATCTGACCCACTTCACTGCCATGAAAAGAAGTCGAGCTGTAGTTTCCTGAGTTAAGATAAATTTATCATAATAAAATGATTTAATGCTTCATGAATAATCTAGAATATTTAATCAATGAAAATGGCATACTTGCAAAACTTCCCAAGTTGGACTAAAGCTTTGCAATGTTCCCGTCGGACTTTGACTTGTTTCAGTCTCCGTTTGGTCAAAGGAAGCTTCAGTGTCGGGCTGCAACCGAGTGCTCCATACAAATTCCTATGATAAAAACAATAATTGAATATTTTGATAAATCGTAACAATGATTTAATTACTTACTTGATATTGTTCAGCAGACATTAATATTTGAAGAAGTGGAGGCTGTTGCCCTAATGCTACTGATGCCGAATGATAAAGACTAGGATTCGGAGGTGGTGGAGGAAGTTGTAGTGGAAACGATACCGGTGATGTTGCATCACTTGGTGGTTTTTGCATCAAAGACGTAACTTGTGGATAAGGTACATACCTCATTCTTCTGAATGTATTATCACTAATAAAAATAATTCAAATAATATAATAACTTTTTTATCAAGCTGTACATTCATTAAAAATATGAAAAACTTTATAACTTTATAGCTAATTCATAAACTATTATATATAATATGATTTTTAAAATGAAGATTAAATTAAATAAGTCACTTTTTATGAAATAAATTGGAAAAACTTTCAAATGTATTGTTTTAAATGAAAAAATATTAATAGAGATTTTTAATTGTTGAATGTAATAGATTAAATTTAAAAAAAATAAATAAATAATGATGAATAAAAATAGTACCTGTGAATAGGAAGTAAATGAGAAGTTCCGCGATCACGTCGATTTCGATCATGGTGTACAGAAGCAGCACCAAGAGGTGACAAGGGACTGACCACGGGACTGTGGTGAGACAACAAATGTGCATTCAAATCGACTCTCGCGTCATGATGAACTGGGGTTCCCGGATGGGATGAAAGTGGAGTCACCATCGCTGACTGCTGTTGATGATGTTTATCTGACATTCCGGGATGACACTTGGGCTTTCTGGGTCCTCGCTCGTGTTGCACTGCTAAACATTCAATGTCATCTTTCTTATTTATTTGAGAATAAAAAATTAATAATTTAAAGGAAAAAGCTTCTATTAAACAGATCCTAAGTTAGAATATATAAATTTTTATTCATTTAAATAATAAATTTTCATGTGTCGCAACATCATTATTTAATTAAACCACTAAAAAGAGTAGAAGAAAAACTAAATGAAAGAACGACAGACAGACTGGTTGAAAATTACGAAGAGGACGTGTCAAGAGGTGTGAAAAATTGGAAGAGACTTGGTAAACCTCCGTGCAAGGCAAGAGGGTATGTCAGATGTAGTGGCTGGACTTGAGGGATCTGATCATCTTTCTCTCTTTTCAAGTAATCCTACAACCACTATACAGTTGGATGCCAGGCACATCATCATTAATGAGGCTGAGCGGATAACACCTGGTAGTTCTCACGTTCACACTGGCGTCGCGAAACCCAATTCATTTCAAACCTCCAAATCCCGCTTGACCACATTGGCGTCTTTTTTTATTTTACTCTTCACTACCTACCAAAAACGTATTTTATCCAATTTACAATACCACCATCATTTTTTTGTTATTGTTCACAACATATAGAGTTGCTATAAAATCGTTCAATACTGAAATAAATAGTTTGTTTAAAAAATGCATATTCATCAAATCATAATAAAAAAATTAAATTTATTTCTTGAATATTGTTTGGAATATAAACAATTGTTGATAGTCAATATTGACCAACTAGAATAAACAAAAATACTTTGAAATGAAGAATTGAAATATGCAATTATTTTATAGATCCTATTCATACTGTTGCCAGAGACTTGAAAAAAGCCTGTGGATATGTTTCTTCAATCGACCACCCTCCATTTGCTATATCATGATTAGTAAAAACATACGAATCTTTTATGTTTTTGATTGCCCAGTCTAATCGATCTTGGAGATGATAACCAATTTTATTCAATCATCACAAAAATATAAACGCACAAAAACTTTGTATAATACATATTTATAAAGCTATTATTGTATATTTTAAATATTCATTATGTAAAAATAATTGATTACATATTATTCTTCATGACGATTATTACTGATGGTAAGCGGATTAATTCAATAATACAGAACACGATTGAAATATTAAATTAAATAACTTATTATTATGCTATATTGTAAGAGGTTTACAATAACCTATCAACATTCAAGCACAATTTGTGGTATTTATTTAACGAAATTATTTACGTTGAGATGAAAAATCATTGAAATCAGATATTATGTGAATAGTCAAAGAGTTTTGCCCTCAAATAACTTCTTATGGATTTAAATCTTTTCAAACCTTTAATTCCGTCAAAGGATGTAAAGACCTTTGATTGAAAGTTTACATTTTTATGAATAAAACATTCTTAAAAGGAAAATTAAATATATATTAACATTGCATCATGTCTGCATATTTAATCCTGTATTTCACTAGAAAAATCTTTAAAACTCATATTATTATGAAAACGATTACTCAGTGATGTTATGCAAATGAAAATGATTTAAACAGATAAAATTTCATTCCACTGCATCAGACTTAATTCTCAACTTAGGAAAAAATTGCATTAAAGTATCTGTCTATTGTTTTAAATATAAAAGATGTTATATAAAATAAAATGTTTTTAACTATCATATTTGAACTACAGCAAAATAATATTTTCAATGTAGATGTATTGAATTCTAGATGAGAGAAACATCATTTTTCCAACCATCAAGTCATCTGTCACTTCTGAGACAAAAACATCCCTTCATAAAATTAGAAATTAATTTTAGTTTCTATCTATAATAACATCAATTCACCCCATGAATATCCAAAACATTACAAAAGTTATCCATAAGTAATAGACAGAAATGAATATAAAACTATTAATAATAACTCAGATCCACCATCTGTCCTTTCAATCATTTTTCTATGATGCTAGCTTTTCGACGAAAATCTTCCGCTATGTATTAAAAATAAATGAGTTTGTGGAGAGTTTATCATAGAGGTGGTTAAAGCAGCGTGAAAATTAGCGTTGATCCGTAAAGCAACGAGTGACGGCTGAATATTATCACGGGTATGAAGCCATTTTCCAATGGCAAAACGTTCGTTGCACTACTCCACATATATCCTGGACGTTGACGGGGGTTGATGAGCACGACGAATTCTGTGGATTACGTTCGCATGCGCTGGAATGGACCGCGCCCTTTGTGCCCTTTCCTCCATCTCTTCATAGTTTTGTCGTTCTCGTTTACCTACTACGCAATACGTATACGAGTGGCACATGTGAGCCACAATGCTCGTTCCCACACACAAACACCCCCTCAAGGGTTTAGGCTGTTGGCATGACGGAGAGAAAACGAGGGATAAGAGCAAGACACACGTCATGGATCACGAGCTCACACTCTATCCTGCTAAACGGTAAACCGATCTGTGAACATTTCAGCAGTCAGCGATCTCCAAGGCTAATCTCCGGGTGAGTGGGGCTGATACATCACCCACCCTTCAAAACGCCCTTCTCCACTATCCTGGATGCTTCATGTGGAGGTGTTTACGCATTTCCCTGTGTTTATGTCGACACTTCCAACTGGTGAATATATGAAAATTCAATTGTATACTGCATTCCATTGTCCTGGAGATCATATAATAGATGTATCACTGGTTGGACTCGTGCCCTGAAATTTGTACACTTGTTTTATAACACGTGTTTTGCCTCGAGGATCCATCCAGTGGATAATCGAGACTACATGTACCTAATGAATTTCAGCAGTTAATTTGCACTAGCCCTTCAACTATATAATTTATGCGTGCGTCCGAATTTATGCAGATTAAATATGTTTCGCATATGAAACGATTAATGTTTGACTAAGGGATTTTAATGTATTATCCGTGTAAACTGTTTTTACATAAATGCTTTTTTTCGCTAAAAAATTACCAATTCATGATTATTTTCGTATTTGTTGTAGCTTCTCAAAATTTTTATTCCTATCCCAGATGAAAGTAAACTCAACCAAATTTTTCAATTCAGATATATATATTTTTAAAAATGATTTATTGTAAAAAGTAAATATTACTTGATGTTTTATATATTTCATGAGGGTTTTTCAATAAAAAAATGCACAAACTTCGATAAAAAATGAGAACAAGCATTTTTCTAGTATCATTTAATAGGATTTATTGTAGAAAAAGCTCATGACAACTGATGTTTCAAGGCTAGACTTAGTGCGACGATCCATCTCATCCTATGAAAAGTGAACAGAAAGATGAATGCATTTTATAACAGCACATCACCTTAACGCATCAAGTAGAATCGTGACGCACATCCTCATTCTCCACTTCTGTTGATCGTTTATGTGGATGAATTGATGCTGTCCGCCGCGTGTAAGGCACGCCTCGCTTCGATGCGTTACCAGCCGTCCACTCCCACGCGACCCCATGTATACTAACCCCTGGACCCCAACTAACACTTTTTGATCTCGCACATTGCTTGATCAACTTTCCTTCATGCTTCAAAACTCAAAGATTCTGTGTACAGACGTATTACAGTGTCGTAGGGAATCGTTTGATTCTTATAAGTCACATCAAAACATTTTCTGAACAACAATAATTGAACAACCAAAACTAAAATTTGATTTTATCATTTTTATGCTAAAATCTTTTTTTTGTAGTTGAAGATAAAAAAATAATTCCAAAAAAAAACAGGTCTTGTTTATGACTTTTAAACTTTATTCCCTAGAAATCATTACGAAAAATATTATGTATAACATAATATCAAAAGATTATGAAAAATAAAATTGATATATTTTATTTGGAATGGGAGAAACATTAGCAACACGATGACTGCGGTAATAGAACCCAAGCGTACTCAACGATACGTGCGAAAACACACCTCTAGTAAAATCCCTCGCGGGTGCCACTAATGCTGATAATACCCGGGACTTGGTGGAGACAAGGTCGGTGGTAGCATAATGGGGTGAAATGGGTTACGGGTAAGGATCTGAGTAACAAAGAGGGCGAAAGGATATCGAATCATGGGCAACGACAATGCCGCGAATGCGCTTTGGATACATTAGCGGGATCATACGGGCATGTTTTATCCACTTTGATCTATTTTTTCGTTTATTCTCTTTCACCCGCACGAATATGATAGAGAACCAAACACTGATTATTTTATAAATTTCTTTCATGCGTATATATCTTATTTCACATCAGCTATCAATGAAAGAAATAATGATAATTGAACAATATTATGACAAAGTTGATGAGAAACTATTTTTAATTCATTATTGTGTGAAGAATAATGTAAAATAGATATAATCATTGAGTGATTGTTTATAAAAAAAGCTACGTAAATAATTATTATGGTGGTGCAAAATGCCAGTGTCATTTAAATTATTTAACAGAGTTACAAAAGATGAACTAAACTCAAGAACAAAATAGTTACCAAGAGGACATCATACAAATCCTAGTAGTAGTAAGCTGGGTCGTAATCTTCTTCTGTCATTTAAAAGCATATTTCATGAAATAGCATTGGAGTTAGATACAGTCAAGTTGCAAGAAGACAGGAGACAGAAAAGTGGAGAGGTTGAGGAGGGAAAGTGGTGAGCTGAAAAGGGAATGAGGAAGTGTAGGATTGGTTGGAGCAATTCAGGATTCATGGAATGAAACATGTCAAAGGTTCCAGGGCTTGTCGACGGAGGACGATTGCTTGCCGCAGGCGTTTGGTAAAGCAGCACCGACTCTGCTGAATAATGGGCACAGACTCCAGCTGGACACCTACATTTATATAGCTTACACAATGTGCTTCAGGCTATACTCTGAGATAGGCCATTTTGCAGAGTTTTATGAATTAATGTCTGATTACGTTCAGAAATAACAATTTTCTAATGAAACTTGATTAAAAAAAATTTCCTCATCAATATGATTCAGGAATAAGTTTTTTTAAATAAATCAGTGAAAAAGTGAAAGCCAATTAGAAGAGTCTAGAGTTGTTTAATCAAATCATTAGTAATCATCAATTATTGTGTGATAAATTGATCTTTTCTATTATTTCAATAATTTTCAGATAACTTTATGAAATATCTATCAGATTTGTATTTTTGGAAAATCAATGCTTCAACCATTATTGATGGTAGAAGTATGTAATTTAACAGACAAATGAAACCGTATTGTCGGCACTTTCAGGAGCCAGTGGTTGCCGCGAGGTGAGAACAGACATTCCACAGTAGTTCGTGTATAGACTCCCTAACGTGAGGAAGCTCTGCCACTAATTGAATCTCCTCTCTTACTCGCGTCTAGAACCCCCGCGGCCGCTGGGAACCAGAGCACCCGTGCTGCATTAAACACCCCCGACACCCTGGCACCCTCATCCACGACGAGCGGTCGCGCTCCGCCCCAATCTCCTGGCTCGTTCACCCCACCATCATTCTGGCCACATTCTTATTCCCACCGCGATCTACCTTGAGTGGTTGGTGATAGTGATAATGCTAACCAAACGTGATACGTTTTATTATTACCTCTGACTGCAGAGGAAAAGTTGAAATAGATAGACAGCATCCAAAGGCCAACAAAGACGAGACAAATTGTATGGAAGATCTGAGGAGAATTGCAAGATTGCATGACTAAGTAAAAACACCACTGAGAACTCAATTTTCCAATCAACTATTAGGGGTTCCCTGCTGCGATTTCTCGTCTCTATTTCATCATTGTTTATTTTGACAACTATTGAATTAAAAATAAATTAATTGAAGGTTTTTTCTTAACAATCGAAATACATCTTATTTGTGATGATGCTTTTACTGAATATCGATTACTATTGGACAGCTCGAAAGTGTTCGAAGGGTTGATATATAATCCTCTCGAAGAATGATAACGAGCGAAGCGTGGAAGACAGTTAAATTAATAGGATTTTCAAGTGACACCCTTCTTGGGAGATTCTAAACAACTTGGATGGACTTAGATACTTGATGCGATACGGTTTAATCTTAAATTCTATTGATTGAATAATCTTCATAACAGACAAGTAAATAAACACATAGATGTTATTGTTTCAAAAGTGATACATAAAAACTTATTTGGTAGAAAAAAATTACCGTCTTTATTCATTCCAGCTTCAAAACACTTCTTCAGACGACAGGCTCGACATTGATTGCGGTGAGTTCTGTCAATTGGGCAGCAACCTTGCTTTTCTCTTTCTTGAGCTTTGCAACTGTACTCACGATGACTGTGGATACTTCGTTTAAAAAATCCCGAACAACCTGTATTCAATAAAATGAAAATTAAATTAAAATTGATTATAAAAGTTTCATTATAAATTCATTGATATGTTTAATAAACATAAAATTTTTGTTGACAAATCATAAATTAATGGTACTAATGATAAATAATAATATTTAATTATATTGAAATTAATTTTGTAACATAGTCAATATAACTTTTCACCTAATTCTTGATCTTGCAAGTATTTATTATTTATTTATTATTATTATTGTTGATAACTATTCATAAAAAAAAACCAATCAGTTGAATTAATGAATAATAAATAATAAAATTTACCATCACAACTGTAAATGCCATAATGTTTTCCAGAACTCCGATCGCCACAAACGTCGCACTCAACGTCCAAAAGTCTTCCAGCTAGAATCAGTAGTAAAAGCGCGCGCTCGTCAGACTCAGTAAGTGGTAGGCACAAATTAAGTCGGCAAAATATAAGTGATTAAATCTGATTTTCTAGATAAAAAACAAAAATAAAAAATAAAGTGATTGATTTAAAAGAAAGGTGGCAGAAAGTAGTAATGATATAGATGAAGACTAATCTGTTCACTCCCTTTCACGGAAACCTTAATCGTCCTAATGATCCGCGGCAAGAAAAACACGTCTGTGCCTAAGCCAACTCAGGGTAATATCCCCTTCACAAAGACACCCACCTCCTTGGTTTCGTGGCGAAACCAGCCTAACCCGATCAACCTTGCTTCTCAGTCCTGGGATTATCTCCAGACCATCTCCAGGATCTTTTAAACAGACATTACGTTCACATTTTTCAAATACTTTGGAATATTTAAATGTATCCGTATTAAACATATTATTAAATATCTTCTTGTAAGTATTTATCATATTTTCATTAGTTAATTGATTAATTTAATAAACTATTAATTCACATTAAAAGAAATATTTATTATTATGATGTTAATAATTAAAAAATGACAATAAAATAAAAGCAATTAAAATAAAGTCACTTGTGTTGTTGAACTAACTAAAAAATAATCACTCTATCGTTAAACACCACTCACTAGATGTAACAAAAAAACACTGACCTGAGGGCATCCTCCGCAGCAACTGAGAAAACGAGCATCTAGCCTAGCTGAATAGCTGATACCCGGTTACAGAGTCGCTTAGAGTCCCGGTCGGTTCTTTCCGGCTGTGTGGCTGCAAGACTTGACGTGGCTACCCACCCACCGAGAACTTGATGTGTACGCATGTGGGTGGATACTCATGGGATAGTTGACGCAAGTTTCCCGGGGGCCAAGAGTCGAAAGCAAGAGTGACAAAGAGGTTGAATGAGTGGGATAAATGTCAGGTTTTCCAAAAGTGACTGATTGGAGACGAAATATAGAGTCGATTACGGCACACTGGGTGGACATGTATAGGTGTAGGAACACACGGTTAGAGCCACCAAACTACTGTAACACCTCCCCGGTTGCTAGAAGAAGGTATAGATGTATAACTGAAGGGGTAGAGAAACTGGAGATGGTTTAGGACTTGCTGGCTGAATGGCTCGTCCGTTCGTCACGAGGTATTCGCCACGCGGGGGCTGCTAGTTAGCCACGGGGGCGGCTCCGCGGCCACGTTGTCAGCTGACTCGAGCGAGCCACCACTATGTCATTGGTTGGCTCCACCCTTCTCGACATTTACGTTTTTGGTACGTTGACGTGGGGGTGGTGGGCGTTACATTGCTTTTGTGAACACGCCCATGTCGTTTTCATCCCCCGTAAACTGAACCGCATAAAGCTACTACTTCTGTTACTGTTGCCTGTTGGGTAAGCTTTTTACCCGAGCACCTACATCCAACATCGCCCAAGTAGTATATTGTTGGAAAAAACGACGAGCTTTACTCCGGCAGGCCAATACTTTTTATTTTAACCTACCAAAGAACTTTGCTTTGAGACTGCACTTTTGATTTCTGTTGGGCAAAGTACTCGAAAAATATTTCTTAATCATTTCTAAGATTCATTTAATTATTATTAAGGTTGAATTATTTATATTTTAGAAATATAATATTTTCAGTCAATTAATAATTTTAAAATAATCATTTTAATTTTTAAAATTAATTCTTGATCTTAATATCCACAGCTTTATTACAAATGAATTCCACAATAATGATAGACTTGATCTATTAAATTTACTTCGCATAAATATATGCAAGTTGAGAAATATTCACTTTAGAATTTCATGTCTCTCTCCCTGCTCGACAGTTATAAGCTTCGTACGCATCATAAAATTGCGTTTACACGATCTAATGGCTCGGTACACCGCGCAATGTCCCACCAATGAATCCTCTTTCATTCTCACTACCCTCTGAGCTTTTACTTTATAAGGGAGAGAAGGAACTTGCAGTTTAAAGCTTTAAATGTTGAGAGCCTTTAAATGGTATTTTAGCTCCTTTAGTTTAGTCTCTTTTCCAGCCTTATAATCATCATTTTCCTAATGAATTTTATCCTTTACAGAAACTCTATCCATTCAATCTTTCAATTTTTTTACCTGTTTATAATGAAATATGTACAAAAAATTAATAAACATTATTTTTTATTAATAAAAGGTATGCCTAGAAGAAATAAGTTTAGAAATGATGAGGATTGAAGTTGATTCAAAGATCTAAAAAATTTCTCACTCTCATCTGGTGGATGATCTCTTGCAAACTCGACCAATGTGTGCTCTATTGAGCCTCGTCGTTCTCCTGAACAAACTGAACGAGGCCTCCTGACCACCCTGTCAGACACGCCTCGGGTGCTAGCTAACCACTTCGACCGTCGTTTGGGGATTTAGCATTCGGATGGAGGGTTTTCTGCTCAACAAATGCTCGTTTAAACAGATTTAAATTTCACACTTATGATAGATCTCTACATACACATATAGAATGATAAGAGTAGTTTCTTTGGCAATTTAAAAAAATATGTATTTTCCACATGAAAATACTTAATGGATTATTCTTGATACTTGTATCTATTCTTCCAGGGTTATGAAAACAAAAGAAAGTTGATAAAACATTATAAAAAAAATATAATAAAATACATAAATTTAATTAAGGTGGATTCTATATTAGGTATTTTTCGATCAATAAGAAACTGTTTAACTTCCCTAGTTGCAATACCACCTTGGTAACGTGACTCTTCCCCTCACAACTTCCGAGAGTTATAGAACAAGGTAGAAATACGTTGCGTGCACGCTAGAATAAACTAACTTGAATTCCTGACAACAGCTTTTGTGTATGAGATCATAGTAACTTGAAATAAATTAGAGTCTAATGTTTCTTAGCACAAAAAGTGCTATTTGATAATTTTGGAAAAATTGTTTTGAAGAACAAGATGTTGCAACGTCAGTTCCTAGACGAAAGATGTACTCTGAATGATCCAGGAAGAATCAGAGACGAACGATGTTGCATTGGTGACCTCCCGACGGCCGAAAGTGAAATGAAAAGTCGAAGGATCGAACCATGTCATCAACTGAATTACAAAAATGGAACGGTAAATATATTATTAGCTATTTATTTATTTATGGTTATTAGTATCGTGAGGATAGATTTATTAGATATGTATTTGAGTTTAGGTATTAGGGGATGATTGTCCTACAGTTAATGTTCTGAGAGAACGCATAGGGAATGATGAAAAACCACCATACTTCCCTCAGCCAGAAGATAATATTCCTCCAAAAGCTGAAGGACCGATGGGGCCAATTGGTCCTTGGGCAACTGGTCGGCCTGTTTTTTCTCCCACGACAGGGATGACTGGCATACGACCTGTTGTTGATCGTTATTCTATGACTCGATATACTCCTGCTCAATGGAGAATACACAATCAAACGTTTTTTGATCAATCTACTAAAATAATCAATAATGCTCGGTAATAAAAATGTGCTGGAAGATGAATTCAGTCGTATCATGACTTAAGTGAAAAAAAATTTTATCAATCTAAGGCTAATGTGAATTGTTTACAATCACTCATGAGATCATAATTATTTTCAGAACAATAACCAAGAACTTTAGACAGTCCAACAATAAAATTTATAAAGAAACAGACAAAAATCAACTGGAAAATAGAGATAAATTAAGTATACGAGCCAGCGAAATTCATCATTTCAAAGCCCAACTCGAGCAAGCTATTCTTGAGCTAACTGATGAGATTGAATTGCTGGAAGGTGAACTCTGTCGCGTTAAACAATCTCTTTCGATCTTAATAATCCCAGAAAATATTTCTGGAGAATTTTTACAACTGAGATCTTTGAGGATGGAGCCTGACCTGGTTCGTGATAAAGTTGAAGATGAATTAGTAAAAGTAAATGTCAACTATCAATCATTTTTGATAACATCTAATTACAAACATTATTATTTTCACAAATAAATATTAAAAATTAGAATTACAATAAATTGTAGAAAAAAAATCTACTGTAATCAATTAGAGCGATGTTTTTTATATTCATTTTTTATAGGAAATTGCTTTATTAGCGGAAGTAAGAGCTTTACTCACCCAAAAACGTCAATCCATCGAAGATCAACTAGTCGAGTTAAAAACTGCAAAGGCACGAGCAGAATTCGACATTACTGACAAAATCGATGCTTATACAATCGAATCAGAGTGTGTCGGATTAACTAATGACTCTCCGTTGATTATGATGAAGCCCGGAGCTACCAGAGTTTCATCAGAGTAACAAATAGCTTTTTTATGATTAAATTTAATGTGTATTATTTTTTGAGTTTTTTTTTATATGGAATACTGAATTGTTAATAATCATAGGCAATCATGTCCTGAAGAATATAAAAAATTCACTAAAGAAAATTTAGAATATTGCGAAAATGTCAGACAAAAATCGATTGCGCTTCGTCTCAATTTAGATGCCACTTACTTGAAAGCAGTAAAAGATCTTCGTAGCCAAGCAATTCAGGTAGATGCTGTTTTAGCAGAAAAGGTAGACATGACAGAACAAATTTGTCAGGAGCTGGAAAAGGAATTAGTAAATGTAAAATTAAAAAAGAGATCTACACGTAAGAAAATATTGATAAAAAGATTAACTACTAACAATAACTATTCTATTTTAGTGTCTTAATGAACTTACTGATATTGAGCAGTTGATAGAAGAACTTCGAGGAGCTTCAAAAGGCTTGAATGATGCAATGAAAGTGGCACAATCACGTCTGGATTATCGTCTTCAACGAAAAAATATTGAAAGCTGTCGTGATGTTCCTCAATATAGGTAATACATATTCTAATTCCATTCAAAATTAAATATCCTATGTGTATCATTGAATTTTGATCTTATTGTAGATTGATTGACGAGGTAAAAACGATACAAGAAAATTTAACAGCAATGGCAGGTCAATTGAAAAGTGCTGAGGAAACACAAGCAGATCTGGTGAAATCTCGTGGTGATTTAGAACGTGAAATAATGGTGAAGAAAAAAAGTCTTTACATAGACAGAGATCGTGGACAATTGCTTCGCTCATACTACCCATCCGCTGAAGCATTGTCTGGCCACGTATAAATCCGACGTTCCGGCTCGACAACTGCCAATGAATTTTTAATCCTTTTAGAATTACCTTTTACATTGTCCACTGTACTTTTATACATCGTATTGTGCTCTATTTTATATGAATCTAGGTGAAAAGATTGTACTTTTATTTGTGCTTTTTATGTCTACAAGTATTTTGATAAGTCTTTTTTATACTTACTTCAACTTTAATAAATGCACACGCATGAAGAGCGTCATTTGTTTTATGTTTATTATTTTTGTTTGTCATAGATTCAATGGTATTTAAGTAAAAAATGACAGAAGTAATTTATCGCAAAACTGCAAAAAATATTAAATTCAAACCTTGCAAAACATTTATCGATGAACAATTATCAAATGAATTGGCTAGCTCATTGAATGACGAGAAAATTTCTAACCATGATTCAGAAGCTAATGAATTGGCTACAAATCTCAAAGAAGTATATCCTTTATAACGTATAGATTTATTATTTAATAAATAATTAAAAAATTGAATAATTTAAGGATCATGATGTATCCCAAACATTTCAATTACTGTCAAGTCAATATTCACTGTCCAATTCAAAGCCATCAGAAGCAGCAGTTGAAAATACTTCATCATTAGATCGCTGGACAAAATCAGCTGAACAGATTGGTACAAGACCAGCAGTAGATAAATATACTCTTTCTCGATATAGTCCTTTAGAATGGCGTTTACATAATCATATTTTATCAGAAGAAATTAAAGAACCAGTCGATAATGCCAAGTATATAAATAATGGAAAAAAAATTTTCTTTAATCATTTAAAATAAATATTAAATATTTAACCATCGAATATTTTACAGAAATATGACACACCATATACATTTTGCTGAAAATGAAATTTTTAGTCAAGTAGATAAAAATAAACTTGAAACTGAAATTCACTTGAAAGATCGAGCACGTATTATCTATAACTGGAAACGTACATTAGAGCATAATATAAAGGAAACTGTTTCTGAGATAGAAAATGTTCAAAAGATAATAAAACAATTGGTAAAATCTAATCATACTGTAACGTTAGTAAAAAATATAAATCATGATATTCAACAAATGAGAAATAAGAGATTAGGACCAGATCTTGTTCATGACTCAGTTTCTGAAGAAATAACTAAGGTATCCTTTTTCCAAATGTAGATTTCAATTTTTTAAAGACTTGAATTCTAACTAATTTTATTTATAAGAGTAGGAAGGAGCACTTTGTAAAGAAATACTAGATTTATACACAAAAATTATAAATGAAGGAAAAAAATATATACAAGAATTGAAAGGTGCTAAACAAAAATTAGAACAAGATTGGTCCGATAAAAAAGATACCTATAACATAGAAATCGAGTGCCTAGGTATGAAAAATGGGTCTCCAACGGTACATTGGAAACCAGGATGTGCTCAGTTACCTGATAGGTAACCATATCTCTTTACATTACTTGAAAAAAATTTTTCGCGGGAAAAATAATCATATTTATGCATTTTTTCTCAGGCAGTATCATCTTACAGGACATGAATATGTGTCTAAAGATAATATAGTCTTTAATCAAACTGCAATTACACGAGCTAGACTTTTTTGTAAAGATACAAAAGATATGGTAAAAAAAGCAGTACGAAATTTAAAACTTCAAGCAGATAAAGTTGATGTTGCATTGAAGAAAAGAAATTATGAAACTCAAAAAGCATATAAATATCTTGAAAACAATTTAATTGAGGTAAAAATTATTTTAGTAAATCTTTGAATAGATAAAAATAAAATATACGAATTAAAATTTTCAGTGTTTGAAGTCAATATCAAATTTAGAAGCTACAATTGCTAAGACATCTAAATCCATCAGAAAGTTGGATGGACCAATGAAATGTGCACAAACAAAACTACATATGCGTTTACAGAGAAACAATATTGAGCAATGTCGTGATTTTTCTCAGTTTTGGTAAGAAAAATTTGAAACATTATTAGAATATTAATAAATATATATAGTAAACTATTTGATAAATATTTCTCTTACAAGTCTAATTGACGAAGTAAAAGATATATCTGCAGGAGTAAGTGCCTTAGATACTCAAACAAAAAATGCAGAAATGGTACTAGAAGATTTGAAAAAAATACAAAACAAATTACAAAATGAACTTTTGATAAAACAAAATACATTATGGGTCGATCAAAATATGTGTCAAAATATGAGAGCATATTTTCCATCAGATCAAGGTTTACATGGTTATTAATATATTAAAAAAAACTCGACCATTTCATTTTAATTATAAACGAAATTATTATTAAACATAAAAATATCAAATTAAACAAACAAAGAATTCAGAAAAATAACGATCATAATTACAAAAAATAAAGAAAAAAAAAGATAGCTATTGAGGAAGAAATTTAACTAAAAAGAAAATTTTGAAATAATGTTTTAAGTGATTAAGAATATTATATATAAAATAAAGAAAATAGATACAGTAGAGAGCAACTTAATATTTATCTTGAGCTAAATTACTATATTAATCAATAAATTTTGTATTTTTTTATTTTGTTACATTTAAAAATGTTTATATGAAATATATAAAGAATGAAAACATATTGATAAATAGGTAAAAAATATTTTTTTCAATGACCGATAATTTGATTTAAAATTAAAACTAATATCATGAAAAATTATCACAAAATGAACCACTAAATAATCACGCCTAGGGCTATAGTTGTTTTCTTCTATTTTCTTTTATAGTGAAAGTACGATTCCCTAATAATAATTAGCCCTAGATTTATTTCAATATATGTTTAAAATATTTCTATTATTTTTCGTGAACCATGATCGCTTTTCTTCCAAATTCTATGATTTTCAATAAAAGCATTTAATTAAAATGCAAATTTAATATAAACGCCAAAGATACTACACTGATGTATATATATATATATATACAAATCACTTGATACTTTTTTATATGATAAGTGAAACGTAAAAATGAACTGATAGCTGGGCCCAATAGTTGATTATATTATATATACAAAAACGAGAAAATTACAAAACGCTTATTCGATGTTAGTAAACATTTAAACAAAACCTTATTTTAATTGTTAAACTCAAAGAATTCAAACTTCTTTTATCACATAAAAGAAAATAAAGATTTTGCGTTTAAGATTTATAGTAATAGTAAAACGCTATAACATTAAAGTAAATTATTACTAACATCTCGTTGACAATGACATGTACTTATATAGTAAGCTATTTTCGCTTGTGAGTTTATATTTTCTTAATAATATTCCTAGAAAAATATTCTTTTAGTCAGTTTAGAAATCAACAATATTGAGTATCGAGTTTTCAACTTGTATAACAGTTTTGGAAGTTACTAAAGCTGAATACGAAAATTCTATAGAAATTATTCCATACAGGAACATTTTTTTACTTCATTTTTCAATGTTTTAATATCTCCACAGAATGGTAAATTTTTCGCATTCTCAGTCTCTCGTAAGTTGTATAATTCTTATAAAGTGGAAATATATTCTCAACAAGATTTATTTATTGCATTTTCATTGAAAAAAGAATTAGTAAAGTTAACAACAGTGTGCATGCCTAAATGATGTTTACTAGTCTATATTTTATGTTGTAAATCATTTAATAATGAAAAAACTATGAGTATATATAAAAATTTTAATTGGTAATTCTCTTGATTTCTTACGAGATATTTAATATCAAAATGAAGTACGAAATGATATAAAAAACATCTGATAACAATTATAAATTTTTAAACATCTTCTCAGTACGAAATACTAATTTTTCTATTTTTTTTTTTTTTATATAAACTGATCTATCTTAATGATACTTGTTTTTTATAAATTTTTCCCAGCTATCGTAGAACATCTTATGTAGAAATTCTTTGACGTGATAAAGTAATTATTTTTGTTGCAGAACGATTTTCTATAAAATTATGTAGTATTATTTGTTTCTTTGAAAAAAAAAATTCAGCTCTATCGAATTAACAAAAAATATATAAATTGTTTTTTTTTTTCTTTATACCAAAACACATTATATGTCATCATGTTTTTTTGAGAATGAAACAAATCACTACTTTATATTTATCTTGCTGCATTATCAACGTCTAACGCTAATTATCATCTTGGTTCCACACTTTAATTGTTAAGTATAAATATTTAATAAGCGGATATATATTGATACAATATTTACAGGAAGAGGTATGACGACCAGAATCAGCCTGAAAGTTTCGTAAAAGACAACCCTTCATTGCATTATTTTTAAACAATATTCATTTTCCAACTTAAATTACTCACTGAACCTAAATACTTTATTTGAGTAATAAGGAAAAAATATTGTCATCATCAAAATTCTATGGCATATAAAAGCTGAAATATTAACTTAATCAATTCGTTTGTAAACCCTTAAGTAGTAAATATGAATGGAGATTAAATGACATTCATACAAACTGACTCTTACCTTTTTTTTATGCAATTTTACGTAATTATTAAATTTTTATAGAAAATTAGAAAAATTTAAATTTATCGTAATTGAGAATTAAACTTCTCATGTAAATTAATATCTCAATAATCTAAATAGAATATAAATGTACTTGTAACCGTACAGTCAAAAACCATTACGCTTTTATGTATTTAAGAAATAATTTTCCTGACTTTTTTTTCCTTTTGTACAAATATTATCGCAACTTAGTGTTTACCAATAATGGCAAGGCTGTTTGTATGTATCTATGTAACTTTACCGAATATTCATGATATTTAAAAACAATGAATTGATTTATAGAAAAATGGGTGTTGCATCGTAAAACGAAACAACTCACACACTCATATCAACGTTCATAAATCACTCATCATACAATTATACGCGAATCACACTTTTCGAATCTTTAATTTATCTGACTTACGCAGGTACGGAACCTAAAATCACACAATTATACTTGCAACAACGCTTGTTCTGCAGCCAATTCTTCTAGAGAAACAGGCTCTGCATACCCACGGGCTATCAATTCATGTGCAACTGATATTACCTGTAAACGAAACGTGATATCAATAATCAATAATACTAATACGTTATTTAAAAATGCTAATATTTCTTACCCCGCCATGTTTTGGCATATTAATATATAAGCTGATATAAACTACTGTGTCAATATATCCTTCAATCTGTGCCTGGCCAATACTTCCAGTACATAGTTGAGCTACTATATCGTATGCTTCCGGCACCCATTCACCTAAATGATTTATTTGTTCATTAATACGAATGACAAAAAAAAAATATTTTTTAGATAAAATAAATTATCATTATCATAGTATTTTAGATAATTTGACTTACCTCCCACAGGTTTAATATTTGCTAAAGATACTTCTATTGCTTGGAAAGGTAACGTAAGATAATCTGATCTAATTTTTCTCATTTCTGCATTACTAAATGTCCAAAATCCTCCATGATCGACTAAACGAACCAAATTTTGTTGTCCAGCTGGATCGGGTTCTTCTACGTAAGCTCTCACCCATTTATCATACCATTTCGCAACTACTAGCATTCCCTCTGTAAAAACCAATATTATTTATATTTCGAATATTTATCAATTGAATAAAAAAAAAATAATAATTATTTAATAAACTTACGGCTAAGTTGATCTGGTACGGGAGGTGATTCAACTGTACTATACATTTGTGTCATGTTGTAATCTAACACCCTTAATGAAGGATACGTGGGGTGTGTAGGAAGCTGAATAAATAAACGATTAGGTTGGATAATGTGACAGACCATAACATCATTATTTACACCCTCGATCAATTGAAGATGCATCAATTCTGTCATCCACGGTACTTGTTCTGGATTAGGAGTCATGTTTACTTGTTCTAATGTCAAAGAGGGATGTTTTTTTTCTGGAAATTGTTGCCTAATCAATTCCAATGCGATATTGATGTTTTCTGGTAGTCCTTCAATAACACACAACTTCATATGTTTGCCTGCAGTTGGATGACGTTGTAATAGAATATTGACATCAGCTTTTGCATTCAACTCCTGAATACACGTTCCATGTCTTCCAATGAATTTACCAACCAAATAAAGAGGCAGTTCAAATTCATATACAGTAGTGCATTTGTTCTTTGACACTTGTCCATTAATACTTCCGCCTGAAAATATTATTTTTAGAAAAGTATAATATTATGAAAAGAAAAATATATAATTAGAATATAGCAAATATATATATTTAATAATTCCAACACGTTTTAATAAGCATTTAGTACTACGGACAAATCAGATACAATTGTTGAAATAAAATAAATTATCAAGATAAGACGTTGATTGAACTAATAAACTAATACATAAAAACTTTCTATATTCTTATATGAAATTAATAGAAGGCATATATTACCTTTTCCACTATCAGTACTTCCTTCACTTCGTATATCATCATTAACACTTCCATCTAAGACACCAGAAACTGGACTATGATTAGCAGAATCTCTTTCAGAAATAGCTTGACCTCGTGTCTTGTTCTCATCAGTGGAAACTTCTTCGATCGGTTTTTCACAGGTTTCGATGCTAACTGAACGAGATCTTGTTTGGATAGTGGGTATAGACTGTTCATTGGGTGTCATTTTTTTAATTAATTCTTCTTCACAATGTTTTTCGATATTATTTTCATTATCTTGAATATTTTCGAGAATGGGAGGTCGACTCCGCGTCATCAAATCAAAGCTCGACAACTTTGGATTGCTGCCTAGTATTTCTTCGTTCATTTCTGGCATATCTTCAATATCCTCGTACCAAGTGTGTTTTTCTCCGGAAGATTTTCTAGATCTCATTGAAATTGATTGTGGACTGGATTTCTTGATAGGGATATCTAAACTGTCACTAACTTTCCTTGGGCTACAGACAACTTCTTCAGACACTCGACCGAGGGTATTAATATTCGTATTCAAAGTGGTGAAGGTCTTATCAATATGTATCCCAGAATCATACAGAGTTAAACCGTTTTTCGGTTGATTATTATCTATATTTTTTTCAGAGATGTTCTTTGATTTCTTATCAGCTTCTATACTTCTTCCGCCAGGGTCAACTCGCTCGACACCTCGACGTTTGTACCACAAAAATCCTATTATAAATGCAAACGCAGGAAAAGTCCACTTTATGAGTTGTATATTGTGAATAGACATAATTGAAGTCCACGGTAGCCGTTTTTCTTTAAAAATTCTGAAAGCTGAAACATAAATTGTATTCTTATTATATGAAGCTTGTATTCATTTATTCATTAAAAATAAATATTTTCCAAAATTTTAATAATATTTAATACGAAAGATCAATTTAATTGTGAAATAAATCAATCCATTTTAAAATTCTCATTTCGTGTTGAAATTTTAATTTTTACATAATTTTAGACTTATTGAGTTAATTGTCCATAAAATATTCATTATTATTATTTTTTTTTTTTTTGTATAAGATTATAAAATTAATATTCATAGAACAAATTTATCGCAAAACATGTATGTATTTTGCATCTCTATGTTTGTATTATGATGAATTGGATGTACGAAATAATGTAATTTTTATCACATATTTTTTCTTGAATTTCGTTGAATATTTACGTAGAATTTTAATGTTTAAGACACTAAACTCAAACGGAATACATAAAATAGTTTCGAATAGTTTCTAACCACCATGGGAAATATCAGACCTTAAAATCTACCACCTACTGTGAATGGTAGACTACGGATAGAAATAGAAATTCCATACCATGACAAGGATAATTCTCCTATACATCCTTCATCTATGAACAACTAACCTACGTCAAATGTCACATTAATTTTAAAAATAGAACCATATTAAATAATTATCAACAGGTTTTCCAACATATTGTTGAGAGTACAATCAAGTTAATTTAAAATAGAGTTTAGAAAAAAAAATAACCTGTTTAGGAATTTATGTTGCGATAGATTAAACAAAATATAATTTACAATTTTTTTTTATCTATTTTTTTCAATGTTACCATATAATCAACAATAAAGTTACATCATCAACTCAAACTATCACATAAGGTATTTTTTACTATCAATAAGCTAGCACACATTTTATGACAAGTAGTATTTAATTTTTTTTGTGTATAAAATATTTTATTGTAATAATATTAACACAAAGATGGTAAATTTATTATCAAAAAGATGAGTAATAAACATATGATAAAAAAGTAAAGATATTTTTGACAATATTATGATAAGATGTTCATCAAGGATATTAAAGAACTCTGAAAAAGAGCACACGTTCTTGAATTTTGTCGATTAAACTATCTGGGTGTCTGAGTTACGAGGAGAATGTAACATTTGAGAGCAAAAATCTTGTTGAACTTTCACGGAGAACTTGCCTCAAGTGCGGGCGACCGGTTTCGTGGGCAATTCGCATTCACGCGTTGAAAAGAAATATGTAATGTTTTAAACTTAACGTCGTTACGTTTCATATCATATGCGATATAACTACGCTTACATGAAAGATTGTCACACTTATTACTTGTGACTAGCAACCTATAAATTATATTAACTATTATAAACTATTTTATGACTTGCAACTAATACAGTAAATCTAGATAAATTAATTTCTACCCTTTCAATTAATCAATCAAGTTCTGTATCAGTAACAATATAGCTGCTATATCATCGTCATTAATGTAATTAAATTCGCAAGAAAAATTATGTTTACACAAAATCTTATTATCGACTTTTAATTATCGATTGTGTAATACTACCTCCTAAAATTCTTTTTAAAGCGTCATTTTAATGATACATATGGAACCATCTATTGATAATATCTTCATGACAAATATTCTATAGAAAAATTATTAATACTGATTATTAAATGAAAGTATTTGTTATTTAAATGAAATTTATGAAAATTATCTAATCAATAGATTTTGTATCAATATAATGGAAAGTTTAATTTATTTATGAATCACAGTAATTAATTAACAATAAAATATTATCTCCAAAAATTTGTTTATTAGATTAAATTATATAACTAACTCACCCCAAGTTTAATCATATTGATTGGTGGTGGTTACACTTTTTGGTGAAATATCCGTTAAAAAATTTGGAGCGGTAGATCACTCGACAAAAACCGTTTAAATTGATTTATGAAAATTTTAAATAAAAATAAAAGTGAAATTATTTTTAATCAAGACAAACAATTAATTACAAATTGGTCGGATAATTGATAAAGCGTTACTTTTACTGCTACAGTCGACACCGTACTGCGGTTGCTATATTGGAGCAACGACTTCTAACACGTGGTCGGATGAGAAAGGCGGTTGGAACAGGTCTAAAACCTACAGTACGCAGTTGCGGACAACGGCCAGAATCAAGAAAGAGCTTATAGCTGTTCTGACTGACTGTGATTGTCGGCATATTATCGAGACGAGATGAAAAAAGATAAAAAAATACCGATACAATTAAAAAAAGAAACCATATCAACTATATATATATATATATATATATCTCACTTTAATTTATTAAATACATGGCGAAGAAAAAAGTCAATCCAGGCTGTTATTTAAAAATTCACGTCATCCTTGATTGCAAATTTAAATATTTGAGTTCAAAACACTTGTGCGAATCAGTCTGTCAACTGTAAAATTGGATAAAGTTAGCACTGTAAATTTGATAAATTTTTAAAAATATGAACAAAGGTCTGACAAATTTGAATAACCTGGAATTCATATTATTGCAGCCTTTCAAAGTATATTTCGTAACATTCTCTATGTAATTATTACCACAAAGTTCAACAGAGGAATTCTTATAATAAATGATCTAGAAAAAGGTATTAGATAGATTGAGATTGAGGTACTTTGATAAGCCAACACGAAGGTCCTAATGGTTCAATGCGCTTGGAATGTTCGTCAACGTGTCGGTGAAATAACCAGAAGTCTCACAAGGACCCTGTAAAGTAAGAAGTTGAACAAGGACAGAAGAGTGGTGAAGGTTACAAGGCTGAGTGAGGCATAAATGAAAAAAAAAAAAGAAACTAGAAAATAGACAGCAGGGTAAAACTATGAAGAAAGAAAGTCGAACGGCGTCAAGACCAAAGCGGCTAGAGACTGTATCTTGGACTCAAGTGAAGTATGTATAGAGCTGCAGTTCAAGTCTGGTTATGAGACACGAGACGCTTAAGTAGATATCCAGGGGTGTAACCCACGCCATAGGTGTTTATTGTCTCTTGCATCCTGAAAGATACTTGAATGTTATAAGAGAATAGTTGCAGGTTTTAAGCTAAGTCGAAAATTGAAAATCAAATATTTTTAACAAAATATTCTACTATGTTCATTCAATTTAATCATTAGAGTAAATAATAGATTTCAACAAAAGGGGAACTATATTATTGTAAAGCTTAGAATGGATATTATTGGTATTGAATATGCTAATTTAATTATTTCTTCAAATTTACATTATTTGTTTACATTTTGTGAAAAGTAATAATGGATAAATATTATTTATTTATATTAGAAAGTATTGTACTCTTTAAAATCTTTTTTAATTTTGTTTAGTAAAGAAATAAGTATCTCTTTATTATAATACGATCAAGTAACTGCTGACTCTGCCAATATTACTATGAATAAATACACATCCACTTGTTTTAATTCTGAATGAAATAAGAACAGATAAAAAAAAATATTCACTAAACGCAGCAAAATTATATTTCAAAGAATTATCTAGAATTAAAATATTCAAAGGTTTATACAATAATCATTGCTCTAATTTCTTTATTATCAGTAGAGGTTAATCACGAATCATTAAAATGTAAACAAATGAATGCTAAAAATAAAAAAAAACACATTGGATGAGAAATAAAATTAATGAAATAAAAATGAAAAAAAAATTTGAGAATCATACTTGGGAAAAAATGGAAAATGATGTGATATTTTATCAGTTCATGTTAGATTAGAACTAAATAAGAAAATACGTTGTGGCATGATGAACATGAAACTTATATTGCAACGAGAGTAGACAGAATTACATACTCCCTATAAGTACTCGTGGAAATGGTTTATAATTGCAAGGAAGTGTTAAGCATGATTCATATCAAGTTATTAAATCATTATCAAACATGTAGAGCACGTCTGTGAGATAAACGACAATCTCGATAACGGAAATTGTCATTTTTTAGAGAATATGAATTGAACCGGTTTAACGTGTTGCGTTTTGGAATTCATTTGCGTCCATATTGTCCAACAGCCTCTAAAACGACCCAAGTGCCGGAGAATTTTATTTATTAAATAGAATAAATAACATTATTGTATAAAAGAGTTTCTGAAATTGCGATCAAGTAGAAAAATTCGCAATCAGTTTAGGAATACAGACAATTAGGCGAAAAGCATGAAATTAAGTTAGAAATAAAATAAGAAAGAGAAAAACCGCCTTGCGGCGAGTGATGAGAAAGCATGAGAGCGGTTCAATAATTTATGGTCATGCCGGTAAATGTACTTACCAATAGATGAAGTTTATGAAACTAATAATTAAAGTATATCCGTAGATTTTATAATTTTTATGCACGATCCACTCTATGATTAATAATACCCGACTTTAATTTATTTCCACGTGAACACAATGTTTTTCCTCGCTTCTAAATTCACAATATGGCGTTATGAAGTCCCACTATTCTGTACAGTCCGCGTGGTGTGTGAATCTTCTTTACTCAGCGCCGTCTGCTGAATAATTTTAGTACAAGTTCCCCAAGATGACAACGTCAAGAACAGTCATTGCTCTAGGTCAAGAACCTTTTCACGGTCATGAATTATCGAAAAAATCTATTACATTTATCAGTAATTCATTATTTTGTCTATTTGTAAATAATATATATGTCAGTAATTTACTTCAATTAGAGGTGTAAATTCAATGTTATTGCAAGGTATTCACCACGTGGTGAAGAAACGAGGTTAGACATGTTTTAAATTTTAAATTTATCATAAGTTGATAATTAATTAAATATTTGATAAGAAGAAAATCTACACGATCGACTGAAAACAGTTAAAAAAAATTACCGACTAAGCATCTGCAATACAGATAGAAGCATGCGTAAAAGCTCACAAGATGGCCGCGGAGCGTTGAGGTGCACCTGTCTCTCCATAGCACGTGTGTACAGCAATCCAAATTTACCGTATTAAAATCGAAGAAATTTTTGTTTTTGACGTGATAATAATGTTTATAATTATTCAATAGTATTGATATTATGCAAATATCTTGGATATTCAATAGAATATTTAAATTGTACGGTTATTTATCTTTAAATTCGTATTTATAACCTCATATTTTCGTTGATTTATGCGACGTATGCACGTGTGACACACTGTTGCTTCGACAACAATTTTTAGTTCAATGTCAAATAGTTTTATTTAAAAGCAAATGATATCGTAATTAATCGAATTAACCTAATTAGTGTGTTTTGTAATTTTTAATGTGTTCAAGTTTAGTCGTTATTGAAAACGTTTTATAGTTGATTCTTATCTTATCTAAAAAAACAAAAAAGTGTCTTTACCCGCCAAGTGAATACGATTTTGTTGATGGTCGAAGTAGTGTAACGTCAACCGAATGATGTAAGTATACTTATACATTAATAACATTATTATATTATTTCTAAAAAAACTTTGTGGTAAAAATAATTTTTTCAAATATTTTTTGAAATAGAAATGAAAATATAGTTAAGTCATATTCGCAATTTATAAGTGCTGAAAATTATTATTTATGTTGTCATGATTCATTGAACGTTTGACGTAGAGGTGTTTAATGGTAAGTATTTATGATTCATTCGACTTGAAATAATTTTACATTGGTAATGGATTAATTTAAGAAAAGAGAGGCCAGGGATAACTTATTATAAAAATAAAAAAAAGGTTATTTAATAATCAAATTTAATGTTTTTATTTTAAAAAAATTAACATCTTTCGTCAGCAACTTTCTTACATTTAAATCTATATCACAGGTACTGGTTTCTCTATCACAAGATCCTCTACTCGGTCATTTTCATTTCATGAATAATTTAACAAAAAATGACGTTTAGGTTTGAAAGGATCCAATGATTGATTTTTCATGAGAAAAAGATAACATTGTTTCATATTAGACCGAGGCGAGGCACATATTAAAGTTTTGGCGCTTCGATTAAAAATTGCACTCGCTCAATTATGTATTTAACAATAATGATAACTTCACTAATTACTTTACATTACTTATATAAACTTTATGCGCCAAAACTGTAAAATTAGAAAACTCATTTATAAAAGTATGAAATAAACAATACAAAAATGTAAGAAAAAATCTAATCCTACAATATAAACTAAATTAAAGCTCAACCACTTGGCATTAATACAAAAAGTGGCCTTGTTATTATCGAGATCAGAGTGTCTTAATCTCTCCTATAATTCTATTCGAATGATTTGCTATTTTAAGAATCATATCCTTGGTATTTATCTTTTATGAATAATTGATTTGAGCAATTCTAGGTGTTTTAAGCGATCATTATGTTGTCAATCATATGACTATTTAAGTTACTTTTTAAAATTGTTTTAAAAACAATCACGACTGATATAATTTTTTTTTCATTATCATTGACTAGATAATGGCCGCTTGAATTTACCTAATTCTATTGTAACAAACTTGATAAAATTCTTAGGATAATGATTAATATCTGCTTCTATAGATCTCTTATTTTCACCGTCTTGCGTTGAAGAAATCTATTCACATCACAGTCCGATCGTCCAGCTTCTGTTAACTTTTTGATCAATTTAGTAGACGATATAGTAGCTTTTAGTTGAGTTTTTGTATTTATTCCGGAGACTTAATTATTTATTGTGGCTTTTCCTGTTGGCTACTTGCCCTGAGAAGTTTGGCTCTTGTCGAGAATGTGACCGTTGGGTCATTGTTCTCAATGTAGTTGTTTTAAAGTATTTACCAGGGTCGCCAGACTGATTCAGTTGGTTTAGCTACTTGGAGAAGTCCTTGATGAGTTGAGGTAGCGATTGAGGTGTCAATTTCTGATCGAACTGCTGGAGATGGTTGACTGGATGCAGGTGTCAATGGCATGGAGTATTCAGAATTCGATGATTCACTGTCAGAAGGTGATGGTTGAGGCGCTGCCACATGGATGGTCAAAGGTCCAGTTTTATCCATGGAGATGAGTTTGTGTCCAAGATGTGTCATGAGTTTGGTACCAAGAGCAACATCAACTCCTGGAGTTTCAGCTAGACACCGACTAACTTCATTAGCACAATGTGTGTATCCAGCACGGAATCGATCAGCATCAATCACTGGATTAGCTGAGAGACGTTGTTGACGTTGAAGTTTGTGTAGATGACGAACAGTTAACTCGAGAATGTCAGCTTTTTCCAGTTTAGCAACATTTTCACCGTCACCAGCCAATGCAGCAACCATCAAATCTTTGAGTTCATCTAGGCAACGATTGATTCGTGCTCTACGTTTGCGTTCAAGCATTGGTTTCATAACCTGTAATTAGTTAATAAAATAATTTAGCTAATATTCTTCATTTTAATGGTTTAAAATAATAAGGTGGATTTAAAAATAATCAATAATTGATTTGACTGGGTATTTTAATGAATGAAATAAGATTCTTACCTTTCTGTATTGATAGGTTCTGGAGATGGGTTGTTCTTGTCCATCGACGATCATCATTTGTTCGTGCATTTGCATGTTGATAGTTGAATGAGTCTTGATCGAAGTATATCCTTGGATTGATTAATCACTGAATTGTGATATTACACGTGAATAAGTGTAGATCACAATGACAATCACTCAAGTGTTAACTAATGAGATAATCACTACTCGAAGTGTTTTGATAGCGAGTGCGCGTAAACACTGTCGACTAATAGTCAAATACTACTCTGAGAAAAGATGAATGAATTTGGAATAAGCGCGTGGTGTGTCTCGAAGTATCGAGTTGCACCGTACGAGAGGCAGAGTAGAAATGTGAATTTGTCGGTAGTGCGGAGACTTTTATAGTGAGGAGCTAGTAGGGATAAAGTGGGGATGGATAGAGGGGAAACACCAGGGTTCGGTGATGGGGGACGAGCCTTCCGTGGGAACGCGCCGTGGAGCTTGGTTCCCAAGCAAGCACACCACCTGTAAGCGGCAGCTGCCAGACACGCGCCCACACTAAGCCATCGTCACCGTTTGTCTGTCTTCGTTTGTCTCATATGTTGTTGCGATGTCTCATGTCTTTTCTTCTTCATTGCTTACGTTCCACGCCAGCAATGCACCACAAGGAGTGAATATACTCACTCTTCATCTTTTTCTCTCTTCTGCTGAAGTCACTCTTATCGACCTCCTTCTCCCCGCGTATTTACAGTACTCGATAGAAGTCCATAATATCTCCTGCAGTTGCTCCTTCTTCATCTTTCGCCTTTGCGGTTCTCCTGAACGAGTTTCTTGAGTCTCCTTTCCTTTTTCCACTTTCATAGCATCATTTTTAGTCGACTTCTTCTATTTCCTCTGATGCTCGTTACTTCAAGTACCTCCTTCGGATGTCTACTTATCGCTTGGTACTACCGTAATCATTCCGTGACTCGATCTATGAAACAGCATTATATACATCTACTGCTTATCTCTCCACCATACTGTATTTTGCGGTGTTTCTTTTTCTCTTTCAAACAGCTCACGTCCAGCGTGTGCAAGGCACAAGTCTATTCTCCTCCTCATCAGTAGTTTCTTTCCTCTATTTTTCTATACTTTTCATACCTTGTATCCTCCTCTTATGATTACTATTTTCCCCTTTGGCTCGAGCCCATGCAATCTAGAATTGCACGGGCGTTCACTCTTGATAACTCGCTCGACTGAACGCACCAAGATAAGTGACCATGCGATCTCCTCGTTGCACGATTAATCATCTCGAGACGAGCACCGTCTATAATGACCAGGCAAGAGGTGAAGGAGTGTTATATAGTATAGGTAGTTGTATTGAAAGAAGAAACCGCACGCGGCACAACTCGTGTTCATTTCCTCGTGCATGATATCAATTGTGACTTAGTCACGTTTGGATTATCCTTGGCACGACGTAATTACATTTTATTGGCAGTTATTAGAACAATTTGAATTGTTAAATTAATTTGATAATTATCTCTCTTTTTGTCATCTTTTTTTTCTTATCAACACATTTGGTTGCTAGAAAATTGTTGTTCTTTCAACAAATTATGTAATTTTTTTAATGACAAACAAACACTACTGAAAATAGAATAATATGTCGATAACATTAATGTATAAAAATATAATAATTTAGTGTGTTTACTCTTTCGTGCATAAAATAAGCTTGAGACTTTTTTGAAATTATCATCAGAAACGATTTTCGATGTTTAAAGTTCCTTTCAGTATTTTTAAATTGCATGTAATACTTAGTATAGTCATTGTTGGTTGAGATTTTAAGAGAATTATATGTATGTTCAAACCGCTTTTCCTAGTTTTTACAATATTTTTTTTAGTTATTCAACATTGCTTGACACTTCAACTATATACTTATATTAAATACGTGATCATTTATATAATTATACTACCACCTCACTGGTTTACTTTTTTCAACAATAAATTTCTTGAAAATAATATTGCAAATTAACAAAATGTTTTTGATACAAAAAAATTTGTTTTTTTTGTCAAATTGAACATTAAAGTTTTGTGATGAAATAAGCTCGATTTAATTGGAGAACCATTGAAAATCTCCGATTATTTTCAGTTACTGTATCAATAGCAAGAATGTGAGTCCATTAAAGTAATACATTCGATTAATGGGGTATACAATATATAGACAATAGACACTACATAACACATGTACGAACATCGAGTCAATTTGTGTGCACGTGCATTAGAGTTTTATATTGAAAATCGCTGGAGGAGATATGATGCAAGTCGAATCAACGAATGCACTTAATAAAAAATAACTCGCCCAGGGGTAGTAGTTGGTATTGAGACACGTGTACATTTGAACGTATTAGGGGTTCACCCGGAACAAACCCAGACAAGGTGTATCTATCCTAAAATCACACATTTATATCCTTCGATCAAGTAAAAAAAAAAAGGAAATATATGAGCACGTGCTGAATCGTGAGGCACGTGGCGTAGATTACGTCGTGGTATAATCAGACATAAGAAAAATAACTCAAGCTGAAGCTTATCAGTTGAATTACTATATGTGCTCGGCTTGAGACTTCAACTCATATACGACAATATGTTGTTGGTTTTGCGTGTCATGAATATTCAATGAATGAAAGTTTTAGAGCAGATCAATAAAGAAATATTAGTTTGTTTCCTATAATGTTATAGTTATTATTATAATAATATAGATCGGTCTGCACGCACGAAAATGGAAATGCTGACAAAGCATATCTTATCCTCGCGACATATTTCGTCTCTTTTTAAAAATATTTTTTACAAAAATTAAATAATTTTTACTATCAACAAAAAACTTTACTTTATTTTTTATTCAATAATTCATTATTGTTAATTGCATTTATAAATAACTAATGTTTTGTTCGCTTTGGAGGAAAAAGAGTATGAAGTTTATTATGTAACAGTAAGTTAATCATATGGTGGAGTGTGAAAATTTTCACTCGTTGGTCTGTTTTTAATCACTCAATAAAGTGTATTAATTCAATGAGAAATTCTGTTGCAATTGCTTTGATATGTCGACGACCCCGTGACGTTCCTGCGAATTTTCTCACATACCTTTTCTCCCTTTTTTTTTTCTTTTCTTTTTATTAAATACTTTCTCATGTGTCTATCTCGATTGCGCACCCGGTCAAATGTTTCGGGGTCTTATTAGTACATCAGCTGTCCTCGCAGCATATGTCACACCGTGGCACGAGCCATAGAATCATAACGAGCTCCCCTTTCTCCCCTTCAGTAGTTGTGCAGTACGCAATAAACACGATATCTCGTTCAGCTTCTTCTCCCCATGTCCCTCTTGAATTTTAATTTTTCCACAAAAGAAATAAGTACTCATCCCCCTTTTTTTGAGTCACTCTCCCCTTAATTGAAACAGTTGCTCGCACGCGTCAATTTATATATTGTATTCATAGCAGCAATAATTGACAGATTGTACAGAAAATTATGTCAGCTCTTTTGAGTCGGGGAAAATACTAGGTATGACCGAGACTGGAAACAACCCAGGGAAAATTATGTTGCCACTTAGAACAAATTATATTTACGTACCTGGAAAATGTGATCTTTTGTCAACATAAAGTATCATTATCCCTTCTTTGCAACCCTGATGTGGAAACTTTACTGAAAATACCCGATTTATTGTTTCTGATCCATTACTTCCAGTAGTACCTCATTGAAAATTAAATTCGACTCTTCGTATGAGCGTTGAATCTTCGATACATCAGTTTACGGTAGTTTGACGCCAGGGAAAAATTACCAAGTGCCTAGACGATGAACGATCATCAGTAAAGACGGTAATCAGTGTTATTGTAAAAATAAATGTCTAGAATGATAAAATAAAGAGTTTTCAATTTTATAGTTATATATTAAACATAATTATACTTAAAACAGGCGTCATTAAAACATCGAGTGAGATAATTGTTATATCGGCAATTTAATTCATAAAATATTATGATTATGTGTATTAATTAGCAGTAATATACCCATACCGAGATCGAACTGCAGTTTTTATATATTTGTTTAGCAAAACACTAATAGCTGTTTATGCCTAAGTATGAAAAAATGATTTATTCAGTTGGGAAAAAAATATAATAAAATCATCCATAATTTGTTTATGCAATTAATCAACTTATTTTATTTAATCGGTCAAGTCTTTAATTTTTTTTTTTTTTTGATTTTTTGCAGAAAATTAGATGATTATCCAAAAAAACGATTTTATTCATTTTATTACACCTGATAAAAAAGATACAATAATTATTATATTATTAATTATTATAATTATTTTATTTATAATTAATTTTAGATAAAATTTTAATAAACGATATAAAAATTTTTTTTTTTAATTATTGAGATAGATAAAATCATCATAAAAATTAATTTTAATGTTTAAAGTTATTATTTAACTGATGACATATTATATTTATTAGATGAGAGTTTGAGGAAGAAATTTGAACTTTAGTAAGAAATACACAGGAGCTTGTTCATGAATTAAAACGTTGATTAGCAGTTCTCTGACATCGTGTGATTTCTACCAAATGAAAAAAGAGAGAGTTTAAGAAAGAGAGAATCTGAGATAAAATATATATATATCTATATTAATAAAACAGAGTTGTTTAAACGTTTCTCGTCGAGTTCGAGCCGGCATGAGAGAGATCAGAGAGTGACCCAGCGTGTTCGCGAACAGAAGACGTAGACTTCACATTCTCACGGGCTGGGGTTTACCTAACTTAAAAGTAAAAAGAATTAAGAGAAATGAACATCTTAGTAATATACACTATACCTCCACTTCTTTCTCCTACTCTACAGATTCTAACTCTCACTGAACTTCTAATCTTCCGGTACCTTTCAATTTTGTTGGCACGTGCTTTAAGCTGCCAACTGCACCAGTCTGGTATTTCCCAATACAAAGGATTTGGAGAAAAGAATAAGGAAAGTCATAATTAGTGATCAGACATTAAAAAAAAGAATATTTTACTGATGATAAATGTCTTTTTTAGTTCTTTAGTTGATTTTGATGAAATCATGATGCAAAATGATTAACATAATATTATTGAATATCTTTATTAAATAAATATTTTCATTTCAAACATTTGAGTAGTTATTGACGTCATTGAACGTGATAATTGATGTCAAAATGCTTTCAAATGAAGGTGAATGATCTTTGATAGTAATATCATAACAACATACAGTTGACACAATGTTTCAATTTATACGTCAGATACTGGAAGAATTTAAATAAATATATTTGCATGTCCCAACTGACACTAGAGAAAATAATATTTAAAACGAATATTATTCAGTTTTTTGTTTTGAAATGAACATGGCTTTATAAAGATAAGAGAATAGTAATAATGACAGAGTAGCCTTCAATTGGCACGTGTACGTATTGGAAACCATGGATATAAATGTACATACACATTTACACATGGGAGCTATAAGTTGAGTGAACTATACTCTCTAGCATTTTTTTGAATAATACTCGTAGCAACTTCTAGTATTGAATATGGTTTCCATGTACAATGTAAAAGCCACGTGGCTCAAACACTTGTCTTGATTATTGTAGACTACTTGATACCTTAAATTACTACTCTGGTATTAATCTACTTTTAATTGTTGTAAATCTGACACGTGGCGAAACGAGCAATTTTGCGCGTTTTCAGTCGATAGTTATTGACTTATGAGCATAAACTACTGCAAGTTATATGTATAGTAATAAATAAGAAGAAAGATTTCAGTATATGAAAGTCAAAATGAGATTAAATATTTAAAATTTTTTTATAAAAGAAATTAATTCCATTAAAGAATAGAATTTAATATGTGACGGTAAAATACTCGTTGATTCAAGTTTACATTAAAAAATGTAAATAATCGTCATAAATATATTTATGGTAATTAAGAATGTTTTTTTTTATCATCATCACAACGACCGATAATATGAACTCATTTTAATGATATTTACTTGATGTGCTTATCAATAGCCTCATCGAGCAGGTTATAATCTCCATACATTCCGAAGATGATGCAAATCGCCATGCATACATCCAAGAGATGGTCATTTACTTGTTAGTCTTGAAAGTGGTTGCCCACGCGTAACCCATTATATTGACTCATTATCATTGCATATTTTTTCTCTTTATTATTATCATTTTATCTATAAATCGTTTAATATTTTTGTTGATCCCGGGAGAAGTTAATACGAGCTTCTTCAACCCACGTTGAGAAATTAGACTTGTAT